TGGAGCCTGGACGTGAGAAAGGAAGGAAAGAAGGGATTGTGTCCCCAGCATCATTTGTGCCAGGGAGGGTGCTGGGGAGTTTACCGATGCCCCATTTCCAGAGGGGAAACCAAGGGCAGAATAGTTAATAACTTGTCCAAAACACATAGAGAGTTGGTGATCTGTCTGATTTCAACCCCAACTCTGTCCCTCATTTTTTTCTTTTATCCTCACCCGAGGACATTTTTGCATTCATCTTCAGATAGAGTGACAGGGAAAGAGGGAGGTAGAGAGAGAGAGAAACATCAGTGAGGGAGACACATGGACTGGTTGCCACCCACATGACCCCAATCGGGGCTGGGGACAAACTGCAACCAAGGTACATGCCCTTAGCGGGAACCAAACCCAGGACTCTTTGCAAAACCGGCCAGGGCAAGTTTGTCCCTCTTCCCTGGCTTTGTCCCAGGGGCAGGGGACAGAAGAAGGGAGGGGGTTGTTGTATTCTGGGAGCACACACAGAGAAAGGGGGAACTTCTGACACAAACCCAGAGGAAAACAAAACAAAGGTCAGACTCCAAACGGTCAGGAGGAAGGAGTGGGACCTGAAACCCGGCAGTTTTGGGAGAACCGATGCTTCCTCCGGGGCCTCACTCCCAGGACTGCCCAGCCCCCACAGGCCCCTCATGTGGGCCCCTCCAGTAACCCGGTGAGCACGTCAACAAACAGCCACATGTGGTCTGCAGCTCCAGAAAACAAGCAGATGTACACAGCCACCCGTGTGGTGAAGGTGAGAAGACTGGGAGGCTCAGCTGCAACCCTCTGGCCTCGATGTGGTTGGGAGGATGAGAACAGTTGTAGTGAGTGCTTCTGACCCAGTGAAATGCACATGAGGTGATGGGGGAAGGGCGGGGAGGGGAGGTACAGAATAGAATAACACAGAAGGAACAAGCCAGACCTGGACCCAAAGGCAAGGGCACGATCTGGCAGAGTCCTGGGTAGGGGTTCAAATCCTACCTGCACCCGGGCAGGCCCCCAGAGCCTGCTGGGAGGCCTCAGCTGGCACCTCCGCCGGCTGCTCCTGCGGGTCCTCCAACAGCACTGCCGGAGCACCTACCCCAGCAAGGCCCCCGAGAAACAAGGGTGGGAAAGCATATCACTGGCTCGAGTGAGAAATATTTCCACTTGTGAGCAAGGGTGGAGAAGAAAGGACACAGGGAGCAACTCTCCACTTTGCAGATGGGAAAACTGAGGCTCACAGGGAGGAAACGACCCGGCCTCCGGTTGTCCTCTTGGCGCCCAGACTGGGATTCTTAGAGGAACGAGGGACTTTCCCTTCTTCGGGCATTGTTTTTAAAAGCAGCCAGAAAGCCAAAGCTGCTCCCCCACACAGTTGTAGGGGGAACTCCAGGTCTGAGTAAAGGTTTGGAATCCTGCTGGAATGAGGTTTCACTTTCGCTGCGGCTCTGGTTTCCTAATGTCACGGTGTGAGGCTGGGCAGGCGGCCAGCTGCTGTAGGAAGAGTGGATGGACGAGGAAAAGGGAGACTGGGCCAGGAGAGCAGGGAGGGCGGTGCTAGGCGGGGGGAGTGTGCGTCCGGCTTCAGCAAGGAAGGTGCTTGGAAAGGGTGCCGGGGGTAAGAAGGTGGAGGAGAACCAGCCCTCCGAACTCGCGGAGCCCATCAGTGAACGTGTAGGGTCTAAGAACCTCTGACAAGCAAGATTACACATTTGTCTGTGTAGGTCTCCACATATTTGTGCCAAGTGTTCACAACTTCCATCAGATTCTTAAAGAGCTCCGTTACCCAACTAGGTTGGAAACAATCTCTCGCTTTACAGATGAAGAAACCTAGTGGCGTGAAGAAGAAATGAATGTGCAGTGTAGACGCAGCACGCTGGCTAGACAGGAAGGACAGAGACAGCTTCATGACAGTTATACTTCCTCTTACAGTCTCCGAAGCACATCCACAGCTGTTACTTCCCTCAAGCCTCTCAACTGCCGGTGTGGTGGGTCAGACAGGCAGGTGATCCTAGTTCTCAGGAACGTAAAATGTTGGGTGAATTATAACAATAGTTGGCCTTCATTGAGCATCGACCCTGTACCAGGTACCACACTGGTGAGTTTACACAGGCTCTTTGACTTCCTCATGGAATCAGTACATTAGAACCAGAGAACTTTGCACGGGAGAAAGTGAGCAGCAGAAATGGAATTATGATTGGGTTCTTCTCCCTCCTCTGTCCCCCACCCCCACAATCCACTGGGACCACCAAAAGGGAAGAAGAATACTCCTGATGTATGTACCCACTGCCTATTCCTGCCTAGAAACAGCACCACCCTACCTCACCCCCATTCCCACTACCCCCCCCCCCCCCCACACACACACACAAACACACACATATTTGTATCCAGGAAAAACTTTCCTTTTCTCCTTAAAGATAGAAACTAAGATTAAGGAAAGGAAACAGGAATGGAAGCTCCCATGGAAAAACTGAACCTCAGCAAAATCTTCAGGATTTCTCTAGAAACAATGCAGTGTGGTAGAAAGTCCATGGGCCCAGACTTGGGTTCAATGATGTGTTCTATCTACTACTTTAGGCTATGAGACCTTCAGCAAGGCACTTAAACTCTCTAAGCCTCAACTGACCCATTTGCTTAAAAATAAATAAAGGTCACTTAAAAATAAATAGAGATCACTAATCCCTATGAATTTGGGTCTTGTCTACATTGCCGAAAAGCCTAAGGTATAGAATACCCTTAAAGGGACTGCCATTTTCTTACTCTTACTAATAACATGATAATAAGAGCTAATATTATTAAGTACTTAACATGCATCAGGCATTGCACTACGATCTGACAAGCGTGAGCATACGTACTGGGACTTAGCCGTCTCAACCACTGTGGCAGGGTCATTATCACTAACCCTGATTTACAGATGAGGAAACTGAGTCCAGAGAGGTTAAGTCACATGCCCAAGGCCACCTGGCTAGTAAATGGGAGAAACACCACAAAGCCCCTGCCCTTACCCAGCAGGCCACAGCCTCCCCGTGGTTGGTCACTAAGGGACTATGTGAAGGGAACAATGAAAACAGGCAGAACCTTGTTCTGTGGACGGGTGAATGTTTCTGAAGTGTTTGCAATGTATTTCTTTAAATGAAATGGCCATGTCTTCCAAAATTGTGTTTCTACCCTTAGTTGGTTAATGAGGAAGGAAAGAGAGGGTTCTTGTTGATATGAGTCAGTGGAAAGAGTTCATGAAACACCTATCAGCTGGGTGACCTTGAGGACTGAATGACCACATCTGAGGCTGTTTCCACTTCTGCAAAATGAGATCAATGGCCACCCTGCCTCATAGTCATTGTGAGGAAGAACACAAGGTCTTCCCTTTCAGGGTCATTCGGTCACCATCAACCACCACTACCCAGGTGACAGTAGTTAGCAAGAAAGTGTTCTTGGTATAACATTACACTTTTTGAAGTTACTTTTTTTTTTAGCCTCACCTGAGGACATTTCTGCATTTATTTTCAGATAGAGTGGGAGGAAGAGAGGGGGGAAGAGAGAGAGAGAAACATTGATGTGAGAGAGACACATCAACTGGTTGCCACCCACATGATCCCAACAGGGGCCGAGGACAAACTGCAACGGAGGTACATGCCCTTAGTGGGAACTGAAATCAGGACTCTGGTCCGCGAGCCAATGTTCTAACCGCTGAGCCAAACCGGCCAGGGCAGGTTACTTTTTTTTTTTTTTAATTTGTTTGCTTTTGTCACTGTCAATAGACACGTAACACTTAGTTCGGAAGTCAACTTCAGCCCAGCCAGGCCAAACTGCCACTAATTCAGAATTATCCAAATAGGAATTGATGAAGATTGATTGCATCCAGTTCTTTGGAATGGGTAAGGACCCTGGCTTTAATCAAGACCACCTCATGGGTTCAGTTCAAGGATGTCCCCAACCGTGAACCTTTTCATGGTGAGCAGTGCGGGGTGGAAACAGCACTGAGCGGGAGCTAGAAAGCACCTGGTTCTGATACCATCATTCATTTGCTGTGTGTTCTTAGCAAGTCACTTCCACTCCCTAGGCCTCCATGTCCTCCTCTGCAACGGAAGACTATGGGGGAAAAAATGATCCCTAAATCCCTATGCAGCTTTCATAGTCTGTAGCCTTTTGTGTCTTAGAAATGAGATGGGATCCCAGCATTTACTGACCCTCATCTGTAAAATGGGAAAATAAGCATAATAATAGTAAATGAAGTCATTAGAATAGTGGCTGGCACAGAGTAAGCCTTCAGTAAACAGCTAATAATTGCTCTCTCCCTCTCTCTCCCTCCACAATAAGCCTGCAAACTCAAAGACATTAAGCAATATTCCCAAGGGTCACTCAACAAGTAAATGGGGGCGACCTTGCCGCCTTTACCCACTCCAATGCATGTCTGGTGAAAAGGCTGCCAATGCCCAGTTCAGATCCACTGCCCCAATCACCTCCCTTGGGGCTACATGTCAGAGGACCCTCCCCTTCTCAATAAAACACCTCATAATAACATAAATAACATCCTTCCATGGATGAGAGAGAAGATACACACCTGTAATGCATCAGAAAGAACTTTGAAAGCAACCAAACAAACACCCAGTTGTTTCTGATCCTGTCCTAGCTGCCCCTCCTCCTGCCCTTAGGGGAACAGCTTCCTGGCCTCTGGGGAGGAACCCCACCCTGAAGGTGAAGCTGAGGTTGCCTGCAGAGGAGGAGGTTTTCTGCAGGCCACGGTGCTTGTGCTAGCTCCTCTAGAGGGCGAAGGGGGAGCCCATGAGCTCACTTTGGATCTGAGGGTGGTGAGGAGAGGGAGAGAGTGGGCAAGGGGAAGGGAAAGGGAAATGGAAAGGGAAAGGGAGAAGGAGAGGGAGAGAGAAGAGGGAAAGGAGAAGGAGGGAGAGTGTCTCAAATTTCCGGAGACTATTTCAGTTTTCCTTTTAATGCAATTTCACTTATGATGTCAGCCAATGCGTGGCTACTGTTTTGGAAACTCCCCTTGGGGGCGCACCCTCTAGTGGCCTCACTCCCTATAAAGGGCCAGCGTGAGCTGCAGAGAATCCCTGCAGAGGATCCTAAAACAGCACAGGATCTCCCATAGACTCTGCGCACAGATACCATGAAGGTCTCCGCGGCTGCCCTGGCTCTCCTCCTCATCGCTGTCGCCTTCTCTGCTCCTGTGTCTGCCTCCCCATGTAAGTCCCAGTGCTGACCACCTGAGTCAGACCCTCAGGCTAGCCCAGACCTTGCCTCTTTTTAACTATAGCATTTATACTGTCTGGACCCTATGATTTACATTCTTACTTTTGCTTTTCCCAAATGCCCAGTGGTCCCTGATAGATGGCAGGGACACTCTCATGAACTTTTCTGTGTCTTCGGGGTCTACGCTCCAAGCTTGCAGCTGCTCGCTGTATGTGGACTGATGTCGGGGGTATTAGTAGGCAGGCGCAGCCTAGCTGACCTCAAAACACGACTGACTCATGTGTAGCACCAGCAGGGCTTCTAAGAAACTTATAAGCACGTAACTAAAACCCTCCTGGGACAGTCATATTTTCCCCATTTCTTAAATGGAAAAAAAAAAAAAAAATGGGGCTTGGAAAAGAATAATGAAATACCTACTATGGGTCAAGTATTATGCTGATTGCTTTATATATATCATTTTATTTAATACTCACAATTACGCTTTGAGTAGCTGTCCTTGACTTACAGATGGGGAAACAGAGGCCCAGAGAGGTTAAGTAACTTGCCAAGATCACACAGCTAGGAAGTGGGGAATCTGGTGTTCAAACCCAGTTCTATTTGGCTCCTAAAGACTCCTACTCAGCTGGGAAATGGCAACTAACATTTCTCAGGGTCATCCTAAATTAACTGACCAACAAAAAATCCTCCTTGTCTGTTAGAGCCCTTCTTCCTATGCATCAGCCAAGGCTCCTAGGACCCAGTATGCATCTTCAGTCTGAGTTTTGAAAGCTTCCACTCAGCCCACCCTAGGTCTCAAAGAAACCAAGTTCTGAATCCACTGAGGATCCTAGGACAGAAATAGGGGCAAAGGGCCCAACACAAGACAGGAGGAGGCCCAGTATGTCCTGAGAGCCAATGGCATGGGGTGATGGCGTAGAGAGGATCCAAGCTAGGCACAAGGGTTAGGTGAGGGATTGGAGAGATCCTCTCAGTCCTCTGTTGGAACCCCCACTCTGTCCTTCTGTGTCCACGGCAAAGGGACTTTACCACCCTGAGCCTGTTTCAGCCAAAGGAGGATATAGTCTATGTAAGAGAAATCATATAAATTACCCAGCACAATACCCAGCGTGCACTGGCAATGAATACAAGGGTCTCTTCCTTCCTTCTTCCAGATGCCTCGGACACCACACCCTGCTGCTTTGCCTACATCTCCCGCCCACTGCCCCGTGCCCACCTTCGGGAATATTTCTACACCAGCAGCAAGTGTTCCCTGCCAGCAGTCGTGTGAGTCTCAGTCCCATGGAACCCTCCAGGGGGGTGAGGAAGGGACATCTTTGGATGCAGAACCTGTTCCCCAGGAGCTCTCTGAGGGCTCCCTACCCACTCCGCCCATCCTCTAGCTGCTCAAAGAGCCACGGCTCCTCCCTCTCTAGCGCACATTCCCCAGCTATCACGAAAAGGACTAGACAAGGTGTTCTTGGAGGATCCTCCCCACTCTAATGGACTAGGTTAGGTCTCCAGTCTTTACAGATGTGACTTTTGACTTGAACATCATCTGCAATGACCCTGTGTGAAGATCGACTCGGTCATTCCTTTCCAGTTTTGAACTCCACAGTCTGCTATATCCCACAACCTATCAAATTCACCTACAACCTCAGAGGTACTAGGGAGGAGAGGTCAGGAGTCAGGGTCCTAGTTACAGTCACTTGTGTAAAACAAACAAAGAAACAAACAAAAAACTTTATTGATTGGTGAAAAAGTAATAAAATGAGATTCTTTAAATATGCAAGCTAATATATTTGAAAAATATAATAATCCTTACTACCTAGAAAGTGCCTACAGTGTGTCAAATGTCTTATATGCATTTATCTCTAAATTTTATCATAATAGCCCCAACGGGTATGCATAATTCCCTCCATGTGTCAAATAATCAAACTGGGACTCAGAGAGGTTTGGTGACTTGCCCAAGGTTGCACAGTAAGTAAGGGATAGAGACTGTCTCTGAACCTTCCTCTTTCTATGAGCAAGATCATTAGTGATCATTGTTTAAGAAATTTAAGACCATAGAGACTTAAAAGAATGAAAATGGGGCAGTCGTGAAGTTTCCTGTACAACGGTGAAGTTGTTTAATCCAAAAATTCTTGTGACACTGGCAAACTTATATTCAAAGTTGGCCTTTGGTTCTAAAGAATCCTTCAAAGTATGGTGGTAATATTTAGCACTACTAACTTCATTTCTGAAACCAAATATTTTTTAAAAGAAAAAAAAAGTCCTTCTTTGAGCACCTATTATGGGCAGGCAGAGTTTAGCAAACCACCATCCATGCCCTTGTGGGTGTCACAGTCTGTTAGGAGGATGAGACAGAAGCCGCGGTGACAAGAGCGCCCCATGACAGAGACTTCGGGGGTTAAGAGAAGGGATTTCAGGGAAGTTTGCTGCAAAAGGTGTCGTTTGCGTTGAGAAAAGAAAAGCCTGAGGAACGGTGTATCGGGCAAGGGAATGCCACCAAGGCTCTCCTTTGGTTTATGTGGAGTCTCCGTGTAGGAAAGTGCTTTGGGCTGAGCATCAGCACAATGAAGCAAAGGTGTTAGTGCTGTCAAGTGTCGAATGAGCTGGAACAGGGAAAGCCCAGAAAATTGGGGTCCAGTTAAGAGACTGTTCTCATTATCCACGTGAGTGGTATTGAAGGCTGACCGGGGAGAGGAGGGGAGAGGAGGGTGAGAAACCTTCAGAGGAGGAGTCAGCAAGCCCTGGTAAGTGGTGTGGTATGAAGTCAGGAGCAAGGAAGAGGGTTGAGGGTGACGCTGGAGAAGTGTGGAGCCCCCCCGGAAGAAGTACTGTTTAAAGAGGAAAGAGCCAAGGTACCAGCATGACAACCCTGTGGAAATGTCCAGCAGAGTGTGAGACTGAGGTTGGTAGCTGAGGAAAGGGTGTTGGGGGTAGAGATGTGACACTTTTATAGGATAAAGGGGTCTCCAGTATCAGCGTGACAATGAGCAGTCTTAGCTGGCTCCAGAGCTAGTCTGCTGCCTTAGACTCCCAGCTTTGCCAACTGGTAGCTGCATGAGTTTGGGGCCATTACTTAACCTCTCTGAGCCTCAATTTCTTCCTCTGTAACGTGGAGTAAAATAGAATTAATACCTCCACTGGGTCAAAGTTTGAGTAATAAAAATGAAAGATAAAGTTAAAATATTTCCTTCTTCTCCTCTAAATGTATTACTACACATATAGAAGTGACAAGTGAAAGTTAATGAGTGTATGCAATTCATTCACTAAACATCCATTGAGCACCCACTGTGTGCAAAGCCCAGGACCAGAGACTCGGGAAAGCACACAGAAAAGGGCAGCAACGTTGAGCAATTCTCAAGGGACAGGTGAAGGTGGAGGCTCCCAGGAGATGGAACAGGAAGAGGCAGCAGGGAAGTCAGGCTAGTGGAGGGTCCCCAATATGGGGACAAGGAGAGAAGGCTTGGCGAGGAGGGGCTATTCTCCAGTGTCCCATCTACCGGGAGGAGGAAATGGAGGCCTAAACAACTCTGACTCCAGATGTTGGTTTCCTGACCTTTCGACTTCCTGGCCACAGGCCAAGAGGCAGAGGAGTGCAGATAGTGAGTCAGCAAGATTTCCTGTATGACAACTAGCTTAAAGGTGGTATTTGGGTCTGAAGCTCCCACACCACCCCAAATAAGAAAACAAACACTAGGAGGCACTGTAGTCCAGAATACCTCTTCTGTTCCCTTTCTCTTCTCAGCAGGGTGGGAGAGATGGTCCAGTGGTTCCCAGTGAGGCTCAGGAAAGGGAAAGCCACTTCCCTGAGAGCAAACACTATCCATGATAGAGCATGGAAAGGAACCGAAAAATTATCCTTCTCACCAGACAACATCAGCCTTTACTTTGTCTGAAAACATCCCAAAGGAGGAGCTCAAACAAGAAAGGTCCAACTAGGCAAGGCTAGCCCCAAAGTAACATGGTAATTGGGAGCACTGTTATCTAGGCCCAAGGCCTCCCTCAAATAGAACCAGTATCCCAGTAACAGGTCAGGCAGGCAACTAGACTGAGTCCATAACCCCTAGCCTTTTAACTCCTCCAATGTGTGCCATCAACATCTGTAGAGACCAGGCCTCTGCCTCTCCTAGACCTCCCTCCACTTTCTGGCTGGTTAGCTGGTAGAAGTGCTTTGACACTGCCAATGTCTCAGGGCCCTCCAGCCCTCTGAGTCACGGTGCCCTGTACCAGGACCTCTGCTCTCATGTTGCTCTAATCCGTCCTGAAGCAGAAGTCCCACAGCATTCCAATAACACATGTATGGTATTTTCCAAACTACTGCACACATACTATCTCATTTGACCTTCGCAATAATTGTGCAAAATAGGAATTATTTCTATCCACATTTTAGAGATAAGCAAATAGACTCAGAGGCCCAAAGTGATTTGCCGAAGGTAATCCAACCAGTAAGTGGTGAAATCAAGACTCCAGTTCATGCTCTTGGTTCATTCACCCACACGTGCATAGGTGTCTGCCCTGTGCCCGGCACTGTGATCTAAAGCCAAATCACAGGTTTGTGTTTTCTTTTGGATGGGGGGGGGTGTCCATTTTATTTTTTAATTATAGTTGACATTCAATATTATATTAGTTTCAGGTGTACAGCATAGTTGTTAGATATTTATATAACTTACGAAGTGATCCCCCCCAAAAGTCTAGTACCCATCTGGTACTGTACATAGTTATTACAGTATTATTGACTGTATTCCCTATGCTGTACTTTACATCCTTGTGACTATTTCATAAGTGCCCCTTTGTACTTCTTAATTCCTTCACCTTTTTTCCCCTAGCCCCCCACCCCTATCCCATCTGGCAACCATCAATTTGTGCTCTGTACCTAGGAGTTTGTTTGTTTTGATAGTTGTTTTTTAGACTCCACATATAAGTGAAATCAAAGTATTTTTCCTTCTGTCTGGTTTATTGCACTTAGCATATCCTCTAGGTCCATCCATGTTGTTTGGTGGACATAGGGAATGAGTAGGTAGATCTCATATAATAATCCAGTCCAACATTTATAGCTTCTTCCTCTGCACCAGGCCTTCATAACCTTGAGTAAACATTTTAATCATCTGAGGAGCTTTGAAAAATTCTGATTCCCAGGCCCCTCACAAGTTTGTTTTTCCACTTCCAGTCTCCCATGTATTCAGCCATGACCCAGTTCCTGAAGGACACCTCTTTTTCTCTGCATCTTGAGCACTCAGCACAGGGTCCTAAACAGAGGAAGTGCTGAGAAAATGCTAGTTGTTGACCAGCTCAATCCTGGGCTCCTCGGGCCCCTGTGACCCCTTAGCTCTTGAGGCAGCACAGGTGTGGGGGGGGGGGAGGGGAGGAGGGGGAGTCTTATAAGGCACACAAGTCTGCTCTGGCTTGGAGCTCCTTGAATCAGCAGAAGAGGAAATGTCCTTTCCTTAAAAGCCACTAATACAATCTTATAGAGCTCCCACCCAGTACCATCATCATCTCCCCTTATGCCTCAATCCATCTTGTTCCCAAAACTGGCGGTCCGGGCGCTGACCAGGTCTCCCTCTCTTCTTCTCTCCCACAGCTTCATCACTCGAAAGAACCGCCAGGTGTGTGCCAACCCTGGAATGAAATGGGTGCGGGAGCACATCAACTCTTTGGAGATGAGCTAGGACGGAAGGCGCCTTGAACCAGAACTTGTGCAGACTTTCTTATCACTTCTTGCTCTTGTCCTAACCAGCTTAGGAGGCTTCTCCCCGATCCCCTACCCCCGCCCCTCCTTGGAGGGCCCAGATTCAGCCTAAAGCCTCCAAGAGCTCCTGAGGCTCTGCAATGTGCACAGAAAACCTCCAGGCTTTGAGCTGCAGGCCCCTCAACCCAGGCATGGCTCTGCAATCAGGGAGGAAGTCAACGTGCCTCTGGAGGCGAAGAAGGGAGAAAAACTGGGCATCTGTGGAAATGTCCCATGGCCAAAGCTCCAATCTCGGCCCCTCACTGGGACAGGCTGACGGGCAAAAGTGAGAAATCCGCTTTCCATTAAAATCCTCAAGGCAGTTACAAAGCTGGCTCCTGGTTTGATCTCCTCCTCGGGAGCCCTCCTTTCTCAAGAGCGTTAAGCATGCAGGGGTGCATACATCTCGTGTCCGCCCTAGATTTGGGGCCATGGCCCTGTACAGTGAGTACACCCTCTCTGAGAAGGGGCAGGACAGAGCAGGTCAAGTAACTAGTGGCTTATCCACTCTGGGGGGAAACAACAGTCACTACACCCCACCCCAAGAATTTATCTCACTCTCTGCCACAGCACCTCTGTTTCCTCAGACCCTGGTCGGCCCTTTCACCCAGTCTGTTCCCCTTCCTCCCTAGTGTACCCTAAATCTCATCCCCAGTGGGGGATACTCTATACTCTTGCTCCTGGAATAGGTTTTAATGGCAATCCCAGAACACCTCAGTTCTCTCAAATAAAGATAAGAGGTGGGGCCCTGGCCGGTTTGGCTCAGCGGTTGGAGCGTCGGCCTGCGGTCCAGAGAGACCCTGGTTCAGTTCCCGCTAAGGGCATGTACCTCGGTTGGTTGTGCGGGTGGCAGCCACTCGATGTGTCCCTTCACATCGATGTTTCTCTCTCTCTCTCCTCTCTCTCCCTCCCGCTCTATCTGTACAAAAAATGGAAAAATGTTCTCGGGTGAGGATAAAAAAAAAAAAAAAAGATAAGAGGTGGGAATACTCCAACTTTCCCATCTGTGTGTCCCTTCATGTGAACATATATTGACAATATTTATCGTAGTAATTATAGCTCGCATAACAGCACTCCCCATGTGCCAGGCATTGCCTTACACTCAGACCTTCATCGTCACAACCCTTTGGGGGAGGTAGTATTATTAACCATATTTACAGTTGGGAAAACCCTTGGCAAGAGAAAATAACTTGCCCAAAGCCTCAAAGTCAAAAAAAAAGAAAAGAAAAGAAAGAAAGAAGGGGGGGTTTAAGACCCATCAGGTCAAATGCCAAAGCCCACACTAATTTTCATCTTTAATTCGAAAAATTTTAAACCTACAGAAATGTGTAAGAATACATCCATATACCCTTCACCTAGATTCAAATATTAACATTCACTGTATCTGCTTTATCTCTATGTGTGTGTGTGTGTGTGTGATGGCTGTATAATACATTTTCCAAATTTGAGAGTAGGTTGCAGATGTGATATCACTTCACCCCTAAAAGTTTCAGTGCACATTTCACACTCAGAAAACTTAACACTGTTCAGCCAGTGTGGCTCGGTGCTTGAGTGTCGACCCAGGCACCAAGAGGTCACTGGTTCGATTCCCAGTCAGGGCACATGCCCAGGTTGTGGGCCCAATCCCCATTGGGGGACATGCAGGAGGTGGCCAGTTGATGTTCTGTCTCATCAATGTTTCTATCTCTCTCTCCCTCTCACTTCTTCTCTCTCTAAAATTTCAATAAGAGGGGAAAAATTAAAAAAGAAAAAGAAAACTTAACATTGACACAATATTATTTGCTAAAACACAGGTCATAACCAAATCCCCACAACTGTCTCAATGTCTTTTATAGCTATTTTTAAAATCCAGGATACAATTATATACACATATTGAATTTAGCTGTCATGTCTTTTCAGTGTCCTTTAACAGACTTTGTCTTTAAGAAAATTGGTATTTTTAGGAGTTCAGATCAGATTTTTGTGGCAATTTCATTTGAATTTGCCTGATTGTTTCCTACTAATTAAACTCAAGGTAGCCCAGCCAGTGTGGCTCAGTGGCTTGAGCACCACCCCATGGACTGAGAGGTCCGGGTTTGATTCCCAGTCAGGGCACATGCAAGGGTTGCAACCTTGATACCCAGTAGGGGGCATGCAGGAGGCAGCCAAGCAATGTGTCTCTCTCATATTGATGTTTCTATCTCTCTCTCCCTTCCTCTCTTTCTAAAAATCAATAAAAATATAAAAATAAATAAACTCAGGGTAAACATTTCTGGCGGGAATACCAGAGTAGTGATGCCGTCCTTCTCAGTGCAACACACCATGGCACACGATGTCAGCTGACTAGTGAGGTCAAGTCTGATGGCTTGGTGGTCTGTGTTCTCTTGCTACCGTGAGCTGCCTGCTGTGTGCCAGGCACTGTGCTAGTCACTAGGGGGTATGGGTGGGAGCAGAATAGAGAGGTGAATGACCTACTAGACACAATCTTTACTTTTTGGCAGCTCACAGTCCAATCAGAAAGATGGAGGGACCTATGAACAGATAAAACATATGATGAACACTTACAGGTTGTGGTCATATTGTGGAGTAGGGGGATTATACCTGAAGGGGGTGAGGCAGGGTGCCTGAGGGAGAAAAGAGACTTAAGAGATAGCATTTAAATAGAGTTCGAAAGATCTGAAAAATTGTTCAACAGGTGGAAAGAAAATGAAAGGCCTGACAGGTAGAGGGAACAGCATATGCAAAGTAGGGGGTATGAATGGCCTTCCCACACAGTTAGTTCAGTCTCTTGCTGCCAAGGAGGGAGGTGTGCATATAAGAGGGGCTTTCCCATCTCTGCCATTTCCCTGAGGACCAATCCTAAGGACAACCCCTGCTCCTAATGCAGGCTTACGTGAGCTGCACACTTCACCAAATGCTTTGACTTCTCTTTGAATCTGCGCCTCACCACAGCCCCTCTAGTTAGCTAGACAGGTATGACTTTGCCATTTGTCAGATGAGGAAACACAAATCCCCAGAGGGGAAATAACTAGCTCAATCCACAAGCCAGTAGATGCCAGGGCTGGGGCTCAAGAATGGAACTGGAGTCCTGGTCAGGTAGCTCACTTGGTTGGAGTCTTCCCTATATGCCAGAGTTGCAGGTTTGATCCCTGTCAGGGCATATAAACAGTCAAGCGATGAATGCATGAATAAGTGGAACAGCAAATCGTTATTCTCTCTCCCCTTTTCTCTCTTTCTCTCTCTAAAAAATAAATAATTTTTTTTCTTTTACTGATTTTAGAGAGAGGAAGTGAGAAGGAGAGAGAGAAACATCGATGAAAGAGAACATCGACTGGCCGTCTCCTGCATGCCCCCCACTGGGGGTCGGGCCCACAACCTAGGCATGTGTCCTGATTGGGAATAGAACCGGTGACCTGCTGGTGCATAGGTCGACACTCAACCACTAAGCCACACCAGCCAGACTCAATAAATCAAAATTTTAAAATAGAAAGAATGGAACTAGAGTATTCTGTTTACTAGGAGACCTGGTTGCTCAGCATTTGGAAGCTTCTATCTCCAGAAGCCCAGACGCATCACTAGTTCCTCTTGTGCAGCAGAACACAGGTCTCCCTGAGCTGTGTTCCCACTCCCCCAAAGGCCCTGTATCCTACCACCACCACCACCACCACCACCACCCTGTCCAAGATCTCTCTGGCCCCACCAGAAGAATAAAAGGATGGCCTACGAAAAATCAATTGATATCTTTGAGATCTGCAGGTCAATGTTCAAGTACCCATGGCTGGAGTATCCAGACCGGAACAAAGGTGAGGTTGGAATGGAGAGGAACAGAATCAGGGCAAGGGCCTGAAAAGGAGAGCTCCCAGGCTTCCCTCCCAGGAAGGGGTCTGGATGAGTTCAACAAATTCATGACAGGGGTCGGGGCAAGCCCATGGACACTTTGATGGCTCCCCACAGCCCTCAAGGTAAGTTCCATGGTCCTCTCAGGTGGGACATCTTGTGTTTCCCCAGCATCTTGCTCCCACTCCTGTACCCTGGCTCTCTACCTAACTCGCACACCTCCTAGCCTTTGTATAAGTTGTTCCCATGCCTAATGCTCCTTCCCCTTATCTATCTGGCTAACCCCTACTTGGACTGAAGACTCAGCTTGTGTAATCTCTTGGAAACCTTCCCTGACCCTCCCAGTCAGGTTAAGGGCCCCTCATGGGTACCACATGTGCCTTCATCTGTCTTCACAGTTGTTTCCCTTGGTTAATCACTAATAAACAATTCTGTCCCACCAGCTAGTGCAGTGGCTCTCAAAGTGTGGTCCCAGGACCAGTAGCATCAGCATCTTGTTAGAAATACAAATTTTCAGACCCAACACCAGAGCTACTAAATCAGTACTCTGGGGATGTCCCAGAAATCTGTTCTAACAAGCTCTCCAGGTGATTCTAAGGCACACTCCAGTTTGAGAACCACTGACCAGTGGTTTTCACCATTAGCTGCACATAGAATCCTCTGGGGAGCTTTCTCAACTACCTAGGCCTTTCCTCAGAGAATCTGTTCTAATTCAGTTTGCCTTATGTAAGGCCCAGGATGTCACAAGTTCCCTCGAATAATTCCAATACGCAGCCAAGGTTGACAACCACTCTGCTAGACCAGAGTTTCCCAAACCTCACAGTACATAGAAATCGTGTTAAAGCGAAGATCTTGATTTGGGAGGCCTGGGGTGGAGCCTGAGAACCTGCATTTCTGAGAAACTCCCAGGCTATGGCAATCCTGCTGTTCCACAGACCACATTCTGAGCAGCAAGGTGTCAGAGAACTAGGAGCCCCTTAAGGGCGGGAGAAACGCCTTCTGCACCTCCCTGGTGCCTGGCACTCATGTTCGCTAAATGCTGAATAAGGAGTGCCGGGATGGATGGTTCTTTAACCCACCTTTGTAACCGCTGTCTCATTGGTACCACAGAACTCAAAAAAGCCTGGGCACCCGTTTACCTGCCTTTGTCCTGCTACCAGGTAATACCCCTAACTTCTGCCACCCTGAGAGCTTTGTTGAATAGGAGGGTCAGCAGACTGTCCCTTCCCATTAAGGCCAGTTCACAGAACCCCAACACTCACCCTTGGGGCTGTCACTAATTCTTAAACAAGTCGCTTTCTCTCCCTTAGCCACAGAAACCTCCTCTGTCACAGGCCAAAAACCCATGTCCAGCATCCTTTGTAGAGTTACTTCAAGGTGATATCTGTAAGGCCTGGGCTATGCAGGCAGTGCGTAAAGAAGAGGCATTTCCATTAATTAACACAGGAATCCTCATAAAATACAGGGTGCCCAATTAAGTTTAAATTTGAATTTCAGAAAAACAATTTATTTATGTGTGTGTGTGTTTGTGTGTGTGTGTATCCCAAATATTAAACTCATTATGTGAAATCCAAGTTTAACTGAACATCGTGTTATTTTCTTGCTGTTTACTAAATCTGTGCCGGCTCTGCCACTCACGCCCCCTCCCCCGCAGATGCCAAAGGAAGAGTTTCCCCCAAGTCCAGAGTGCTGGAGGCAGCACCCGAGCAAGCCAAAGTCGGTCCCTTACTGCTACACCAATAAGCCTGAGCTCTATACGCACTGGCACACCCTGTATGATCAGCAACATGAACGCGAGGCCCAGAAGATGTTGCAGAAAACGAGACATCACTCCAGGTGTGCTTTACCACTCCCTGTTCATCACACCATCCGCACCTTCTAGAGAAAAGAAGGGAAGGGTGTGGTGGGGCAGGGTGCGGAGCAAGTCAGCCTACAGATCCCAGAGAGCATCCTGGGGTAGAAGGCTCGTCTGTCTCCCTGTGGTCCCATCTCTGAGCTGAGCTGACAACCAGGGGACAGAGGAGAAATTATGAAGTCAGGGGCCAGGGAAGGAACAAGGGGACCAAGGTTGCCTGTGCAATTTCTCATACAGGCACCTCAAAGATGGTACTGCCATCCAAAAATTCCAACTCCCCATGATCAAGTTGACTATAAAATCTCAGAAGAGATCCAAGCCTTTACACCCTACTAGGGACCCCCTGAAGTGGCAAAGATTAAAGGTCAGGGACCATGGTGGGAGGGAGGAGGGGGAGACTCCCTTCCCGTGGATACCCTTACCTTGGGCTCATACCATCCCTCAGCCCTCAATCCCTGCCTGCAAAATGGAGGGCGGAGAGGGAAAGGGATTGGATTGGATTGGATTGGATTGGATGAGCTCCTTCCAGTGTAAAGTTCTACAACTACATTTGTCCCTTTCCTCCTTTCCGCTGGCTCCTTTGGGTGGGCAGGAACTCACAAAAAGCCTGCAATCTCCCAGAGAGGATGAGCAATTCTATGCGGCACAGGTGAGAAGTGGCAAGGATGGAGGAGCTTGGTGGCAGGTAGGAGCTGGCTGAGCTGCAGAGGAGAAAAATACTTGAGGTGTGTGTGTGTGGGGGGGGGGGGGTCCAAGAACAAAATCCAGCTGTGTACAGAGAATGATAACTCCTGGCATGGTATCCAAAGTCTCTTCCCTTTTTACCCGTTCCTGCAGGCTCTAGGGTGCCTGGGCGTCAGTGACAAGTCTGTCATAGAGGCACTGCTGCAGGTGGTGAGTCGGGGCTGCACAAAGGTCCAGAGAGGAGGGAGCAGGGCACAGGTGCACAGAGCATGGGCACGTGGGCACAGACAAGGCTCGCAAGGGTGCAAGGGCAATGGGTCAGATCCAGTGAGGAGAGGGTAGTCAGTGTGCAGCATACGCCACCTCCTGCCCTTGGCTTCTTTAAAGGGGAGCTTGATCTAAATTTTAGATTCTAAAAGGATCAGGAAGGCGAAATCTGAAGGTCCTTTGTCTAAGAAAAGACACTCAACCGAAAAGCTAGGAGAGAACTGGGACTTTCTTCTTTCTCTGCCTTAACTGAATCAATGCCTCGTGTTTATATGCCAATTTACAATGGAGAGCATGAGTCCTCCTCCATAACCCCACTTAAATCTTACAGTGCTAGGAATAGGTAGTAATAGTCATCCCTCATCTCCCTTATAAAATGAAGTTAAGCTGAAATTCTTAAAGCTCTGATATTCCATCACCTTATAGTATGTTTCCACTACCTGCCTCTTAAATTCAGGCACAAACTGGTCCAGAGAAAGTTAAGTATGAGGCCTATAGAACCCTGGCCATCCTGGGTGAGTATATTCTCTCCCTGGGTGGGGAGTTGGGGAAGGTGAGACAGGAGGCAGTGTGGCCACTTTCCCTTTGTGTACGGACAAAGGGAGGGAAGTGTAACCCACACCAACCTAGCATTTAGCAGCGTCTGGGAACTCTCCTAGGTACTGTTGGGCAGAGAGGGAGGTGAAGTGAAAAGGGAGATTGGAGTTGCAGTCCTGCTCAGCCAGTTGCTCTGGTATCCTGGGAGGGTGGGCAATACCTTGGGTCCTAGCACTTGGAACTTCCGTCTTAAGGGCACAGTGGAGTCAAATGGATCCTGGCAGAGAGAAGCAGCCCCTGAGACTCTGCCCTGACCTGAGGACCCTCTCTGTCTAGGTTGTCTCAATAAGGAGGTGATCCAGTCTCTCACCAAGCAGTTGAAGGGGCAAAACGAGGAGCAAAGGATGGATACTCTGAGGGGACTACGAATAGCTCTGAACTCCTGGGCTGCTGTCCCCAAAGACAAGGTGATTGGGAGAAGATCAGTAACTGGGGAAAGGCAGGACAAGGTAACTGAAGGTGTTGGCTGGGGGTCAGGTCAGGGAGAAGGTAACCCAGCTCCTGATTTTGATGGGGAAGGCCTTGTCCTGTGGAGTCCCCTCAGTAGAAGCACTGGCATGGCCACTCACCAGTCACACAACCTCTGAAAAGCCAGCTTTCAGGGCCACAGTTTGTCCATCTCTAAAATGGAGACAGTGATACCATACAGCACTCCTGAGAAGATTAAATGAGATAATGTTTGCAAAGTTCCTGATTTAATGCCTGTGCTCTTTACATGGTACCCATCACCACCACCCCTAAAATAACCTATTAAAGGAAAACCTCTGTCAAGAGGGGACAGGGACCCAAGAGAGTCCACTGACACTACTGAAGATTTTTCCCTTTTAGGGTCCTCTTACTTTGACCCCATCATTGCTCCCAATGAAATAGAATTCATCATTCATCTATTTACTCAACAAATATATATTAAACAGCTGTCGTGTGCCAGGCATTCTCCTAGGCCCTTGGGATACATCAGTGAAGCAAATAGACAAAGGTCCCTGTTTCCAGTGGGGGCAGACACATAAATATGTGTTAGAGGTAGCAAGTGCAATGAAAAAATTATGTAGATGGATGAGGGTGATCAGGAATGCCAAGCGGGGAAGGGGAGGGGTTGCAATTTTAAACATGGGAAAAAGGAAAGACTTCATTTGGAAGGTGTCACTTGAGCAAAGATATGAAGGTGAGGAGGTTAGTTTTACAGATATGAGAAATGGCATTCCAGCAGGAGGACCAATCCATGCAAATACCCTAAGTTAGGAGCATGTTTGGCATCATCAAGGAACAGCAAGGAGGCCAGCGTGGCTGGAGCAGAGTAGGACTAGAGAAAGCTATAGGAAATGAAGTGAGATCAAAGAAGTTAACGGGAGACTGGATCATATGTGGCCTTCTGGGCAATTTCAAGTACTTGGGCTTTTACTCTGAGTGGAATAGGGACCCATCTGAGGAAGGCAGTGACATGACCTAACATTTCAAAAGATTTACTCTGACTGCTGTGTTGGCAAAAGATGGGAGTGGGGAGGCAAGAAAAGAAGCCGAAAGACCAAATTTGGGGCTACTGAGGCAATCCTGGTGAGATATAGTGGTGACTTGGACCACGGTTTGAGGTGGGGTTGGTAAGAAGTTATTAAATTCTGGACGTATTTTAAAAGTAAAATGGACAAGTTGGGTGTGAGCTATAAGACAGTGTGAAGCAAGAATGAAGCCAAGGTTCTGGCCTAGCAAATAAAAAGATGGAGTCATCATCACTTCAGATGGAGAAAGGTGAAGGTGGAACAGGTTTGGAGGTAATACCTGAAGTCCCGTTTGGGGCAAGTTATGTTTGAGACATTTACTGGACATCCAAGGGAGACAGCAAGTAAACAGCTGGAGATATAATTTGAAGTTCAGAGAAGAAGTCTAACTAGAGCAAAAAAGTTATGAGTTGTCAGCATATAGATAGTATTTAACGTCATTCAACTGGTAAGATCACTTAAGAAAAGAACCAAGAATCATCTGGAAACAGCCCAAATGTCCATCAGTAGACTAAAGGATAAAAAAGCTGTGGTACATATACACAATGGAGTACTATGCAGCTGTAAGAAAGAAAGATCTCTTATCCTTTGAGATGACATGGAGGGACCTGGAAAGTATTACCTTAAGCGAAACAAGCCAAACAGAGAAAGACAAGTATCATATGATCTCACTTGTTTGTGGAATATAATGAACATAACAGTCTGAAGAAAAGGATAGCCCCAGAGATGTGGAAGTAGGGTACAGACTGACAATCCCCAGAAGAGTGGGTGCGGGGGAGATAAACCACAGAACTTGTATGCATGTATGCATGAACTTGGACATGGACAACAAAGCTGGGGACAGGGTGAAGAGGGAGAGGGAGGAGGGTGTCAATGGGGGAAAAGAAGAAACATCTGTAACAATAATAAATTAATAATTTAAAATAAAAAAAATATTAAAAGAGAAAAAAAGATCGAAAATAAAGAGAGCAACAGACTTCTCAACAGTAACAGTGTAAGCCAGAAAAAAAGCAGAGCAATGCCAAATAAACCTAAGGGGAAATTCAAAACAAAACAAAACAAAACCAAAAAAAAAATAAACAAGAATCAAGCCTTAGGGTACCCCAATGTTAAGAGAAGAGGAAGAACCAGTAAAATAGTGACAAGTGGCCAATAAGTAGAAAGACAACCAAGAGTGTGATATTCTGAAAATCAAGTGAAGAACAGCTATCAAGGAAAGGATACAATTCATTGAGCATAAGGACTAAGAATTGATACATGGATTTAACAATGTGGGAATCACCGATTATCTTAACAAGAACTATCTTGGTGCAGTGGGGGGCGCTGGCTGGAGTGGGTTTAAGAGAGAAAGGGAGGAAAGAAATTCTATACAGCAAGAACAGTCCACATTCCAAAAGTTTTGCTGGAAATGGTTCTAGTTGGCACCAGGGATGGATTCTAGAAGAAAAGAAAAATGATATGTTTCTAGGCTGAGGGATAATAATCCAGTAGTTAGAAAAATGATCGTTTTAAAGAGAGTGGGAAGAGTTGCATGCAATGTTCTCGAGCAGGTGAGAAGGGATGAGTTCTGACATACAGGTGGAGAAACTGACTTGAGAGAGATGACAGTCCACAGTACAAGTGGGAAAGAAGAAGATGGGTGCAGGCTGAAAGTTGGATAGAAGTGGTAGTATCTATGGAACTTCTGTTCTAGTTGCTTTTATTTGCTCAGTAAAGTAGGAAGCGAAGTCATCAGCTAAAACTGGGAGAGAAGGAAGAAAGTGTTAGAGGTACCAGGGGAAAGGGTGTGAATTGGGAAGGTGGGAAAGAGAGCCGCCTGGAAAGATGCAACAAGGTTAGTAGACAGCATTAAGGATCTACATGAGGTTTGTATTCATACATTTAAAGCAAGATCAGCCCTGGCCAGCATGGTTCAGTGGTTAGAGCATCAGTCCACACACCCAAGGGTCGTGGGTTCGATTCCCAGTCAAGGGCACATACCTGGGTTGCAGGTTCAAACCCTGGCCCTGGTTGGGATGTGCACAGGAGGCAACCACTCGATGTGTCTCTCTCGCATCTATGTCTCTGTCTCTGTCTCTCTCCCTTTTCCCCTCTCCCTCCCACTCTCTCTAAACAAATAAATGAAAAAAAATATCCTCCAGCCTGGCAGTTGTGGCTCAGTAGTTGAGCATCGACCCATGCACCAAGATATCACGGTTTGATTTCTGGTCAGGGCACATGTCCAGGTTGTGGGCAAAATCCCCAGTGAGGGGCATGCAGGAGGCGGCCAGTCGATGTTCTCTCTCACTGATGTTTCTCTCTCTCTAAAATCAATAAAGAAAAAAAATTTTTTTTAAATATCCTCCAGTGAAGATGAAATATAAATAAATACGTAAAATACTTTTTTAAAAAAAACCAGTATCAGTCACTGTGACTGTTTTTCTCCAAGAAGATGCAAACACAGTGCAAGTGGAGAGTTGAATACAATGAACGGAAAGGGGGTAAAGGAGTTGAGTGAGGCAGGGAAGTAATTATAGCAAAACCATGGAAGTTAAACTGGGTAAAGAGGCATGAAGGTGAGGAGCAGTGAAAAGGTACTCAATGGTGGTTAGTCCTGTGGAGTCCCACAACTGGTATCAGGAGGTGAGCTGAAAAGGTAGGTGATGGTCAGAGAGTGGGGTCCATTAAATGGAGATCATGGAGAAGTTGTCATAATAGTAAAGCCTCTCTGTGGGAATCAGTGACTGACAGAGTAGAGGCAAGGTTATGGGAGCAGAGGAGCCAGATAAATGACAGGCATATTTCATTTTTTTTTTTCCTTTATTGATTTTAGAGAGAGAGGAAGTAAAAGGGAGAAATAGAAACATTGATGAGAGAGAACATAAACTGGCCGCCTCCCGCATGCCCCCCACTGGGGATCAGGCCCACAACCTGGGCACATGCCCTGGCCAGGAATCAAACCGGCAACCTCTTGGTGCATGTGTCGACACTCAACCACTGAACCACACCGGCCGGATGACATATGTATTTCTTAAATGCCAAGAATTAGACAGCAGAAGTGTTAAAAAGAATAACATTGATCCATTAATAAGATAAAGTCATAGGGAAATGAGAGGATGTGACCTAGGAGCAAAGAGACAAACATAAGAAGTGGATAAAATAATCTGGTAACATGAGACTCATTTAGGGAAGAGAATGGTCTGGAAGCAGCAAATGCCCTCTTAACAAAGCCTGGCTGAAGGCACAGTCCCCGCCCATTTCACCTCTTGTCTTCCTCAGAGGACTCAAGTTGGGGATGAAGGGACACTGGTGTCTGTGCTGCAGATGCTGATACAGAAGTCATCAAGTGAAGCAGCCGTGGAGGCAGCCCTGTGCTTAGGTTTCCTGAGGCCCTGCAGCAACACAGCCCGAGAGTTCTTGCTGCAGTGCCTGTACCACAGGCCCATGACCCAGAGGATGAAGGTGAGGACAGGAGGCCGGGCTCCCTGGGTAGTGTGGAGAAAAGAGACCAGTGCTGACTTCCATCAAGTCTGGACCCTGTTATCCTCATCCCAGGCCAAAGAAGCTTCAGCAGGGAGTACTGCAGGGTCCTCTGTGTGTGGATGTGTATATGCATGGGTATACAGTCACGTGGACATAAGTGTACATTTGATTTGCATGGGTATTCATTTATGTATGTGCACACTTACAAAAGGCCAAGTTTCAGACTCAGCCCTCAATTCGGCCTGGCCATCCAGATGCTTCTTGGACCCCACCCACCCTGCCTGCCCCCCATAGGCACTTAGGATGCTGGTCAAGATGATGCATGTACACTCAGCTGAGGTCATCAGGGCCGTCCTAGACCAGCTGTGCCACTCTTGTGTCCTTGAGGTGAGTTCTAGGGCTGCTTGGTACCCTTCCTTCTCCAGCACTAGGACAGGGTTGGGGGATGGATGAGAAAGGGAGTCTATCCTTCTTGCTTCCCCCACCCCTGCCCTCAGCACCGCTTTGAAGCCACCCAGATGCTCAAGACTATTGGGCTACAACAGATCCAGGCACAAGGACTGGAGGGACTCATATTTGACCTGCTCAGGAGGAAGATGTATAATGAACCCTTCCTCGTAAGTGAGACCAAAGGTCCAAAACCCAGGTCTTGTCTTCCTTCTCTGAAGACCTCTCCTGTCCTGGCTCTCATCTCACTGCCTGCCCCTCCAAAGAATCACATTCACCCTAACCCACTCTGTCCCCCTAATGCAGACCATGTTTTCATGCCACCTTGCCTTTGCTTAGACAGTTCTTTCACTTAAAATGCCCCGAGTAAGCCCTGGCCGGTTTGGCTCGGAGCATCAGCCTGCGGTCCCAAGAGACCTGGGTTCGGTTCCCACTAAGGGCACGTACCTCGGTTGCAGTTTGTTCCCAGCCTTGGTTGGGTCGTGCGGGTGGCAGCCACCCGATGTGTCCCTTTCACGTCGATGTTTCTCTCTCTTCCTCTTTCTCCCTCCCACTCTATCTGAACAGAAAAAAAAAAAGAAAGAAAAAAGGAAAAATGTCTTTGGGTAAGGATTAAAAAAAAAAATGCCCTGAGTCATCCCTCCCCCTCTGCAAGGTGAAAAACTTGTAACCCCGAATAGTAAGTAACTTCTCTTCTTCTGCCTATTAACATATTGCATACCGCTCACGAGTTTTCTCGTGTTTCGCGCGACATCTTGTGAAGGACCGCTCACAAGTTAACTCGGGTTTGCACTTACATTAGCTATTTCAGTTTTTGAAACTCAGCGTAATATGGATTATTGTATTTGTGACTCTTCACCCTAAGGGTTGAAGTTCGAAAAACAGCACACCGTTCTATATTCTTGAAGTAGCTAGGGAATGGATATCTGCTGGTTCAAATGAGTGCAGCTCAGAACCTAATGTGCAGTTTGCCCAAAAACGTGCAGTCCCTGGTGTATGTCTTAGAGATTTCTATGTGGTACACAATGTGTAAATACAATAACTCCTTCAAGACCAGGCCAAACACCACCTCCTTTGGGAAGCTTTCCCAAATCACCACAAACAGAATCAGATCTGCCCTCCTGTGCTCTCTTGCTTTTACAACAGCTTACTATAAAACTAGCCACACAACTTCTATCTGAAGACATTTTTCTATGGCCCGGCTAGTGTGGTTCAGTAGACTGAGCATTGTCCCATGGACTGAGAGGTCCCAAATTGATTCCTGGTCAGGGCACATGCCTGGGTTTCAGGCTCAATCCCCAGTAGGTGGCGTGCAGGAGGCAGCCAATCGATGTTTCTCTCACATCAATGCTTCTCTCTCTCTATAAAGTCAATAAAAACATGTTTTTAAGAAATGGACATTTTTCTAAAATGTAAATCAGGTTGTGTCTCACCTACGAATAAAACTTTCCAATAGCTCCCCAACATCCTCAGAATGATTTACACTATCCTTCGCCACCCAGTCTGCTTACATCTCTAGCTTCATCTCAAACACTAGAACCACACACCAACTATGCTTAGGATAACCCTATCCTGATTTATACCTGGGGTCCCAGTGTAACTACTCAGAGTGCCCCATTTTGAAGAGTCCCAGTGTGGTCATCTCGCTAAACTGAACTATTTTCCTTTCTTTAAACACTCTGCTTTCTCTCTTGCCTCCAGGTTTTTGTACATGTTCCCTCCCTGCCTGGAAAATCACCTTCCCCAAGCCCTCTACCTGGTTAACTCCCACTCACCCTCAGGTTTCAGTTGAGGCATCACCTCCTCCAGGAAACTTTCCTGGTACCCAGACTGAGGAGACCCTCCTATGTGCAACCTACACATAGTTTAGTTAACACTTATCACAGTAATGCAACTGCCTACTCACTTGTCTGCTTCCCCAACCAGACCATGAGCTCCTTAAGGCAAGAACCACTGTATATGTAGTACAAACCAAACATTCAATAAAAGTTTGTGAAGCACTTAACCTGTTAACCGGGGAATTCCCTGGGAATTCCCTTTTTACTGTATGCAACGTTTGACATATTTATACGTCCCGCTCAGTTAACAGGTTAAGGGTACACCCCTGCATCCCTCTCTCTGTTGTCCCACCTTAACCCCTCTTCAGGCTATGAGGCAGGCTGTGGCTGAAACCGTGGAAGCACTCAAGATGAAGCCTACAATGATGAACTTGGTGGAGGAGTGAGTGGCTTGGACTGGGAGCAGCCAGGGCCAATCCTAGGCTGTGGGAAGAGGACAGAGGGTCACAGAGAGCCGAGAACCTGCTGCCAGTTCTCAGCTCTCGCATGCCTGTGCCCCTGGCCAAGTCACTCTTTGATCCCTGGACTTCTGTAAAAAGAGGCTGATTATACCTACCACTCAGGGTAGCTATAAAGCTCAAATTAAGATGAGGACATGAATGGGACTTGTAAAAGATAAAGTTCAGACAGACGTCATTTAGCACCTCCTTAGTATCTGCCTTTCCCCTCCCAGGACCTCTCCTGACCCAAGAACCAAGGAGGGGAAAACAATGAAATTAGCATCACTCATCAGCCTTATGCCCAACTCACTCTGGGCTATTATAAGAAACAGTCAGCCCTTCCTCCCCTTTCTCCTTAATTGAATCACAATACACCCACTCCCTTCTACACAGGCAACTGATGAACTCAAAAGCCACTGCACGCCAGGAAGCAGTAATCTCTTTGGTAAGGCCAGCTCTGCTTATTTGACTAGATATATTTATGGCTGGGGCACTAGGCAACTGAGCAGAGTTACTGAGGGGAAAAAAGAGCTGTAAAATTTGGGGACGTTGTTTGCTTGCTTATTTTCAATTCCCAGAATTGGAGGTCAGTGGGAAAAGAGACAGAAGATGGGTGGGTGTGAGGGGTGTCGCTCAGATATTGCAGAAATTGTCTTAACTCTTCCTGGTGAACTATGTGCACTGGAACCCAATGCAGTGGCAAGGAAAGGCATACCTCACCTGGAAAGCCGTATCTACCACTCTCCAGGCCACAGGATCATTACAAGGGGACTAGAATGGACAAGAACATAGATGGTGCATCTTCCTGGGGCTGGCTACTTAGGCACTCTCCTTCTGCCTCTGCCAGGGAGTCCTGGGGATCCGCAGCCCACAAGTGTTCCACCTGCTCCTGGACATGCTAGACACGGAAAAGAACCTGTCTGTGAAGAAGAGTGTAAGGCATTTCTGCCCTCCTCTCCCCTTCTTCTCAGCCCTTCCTCCAAGCCTTTCCTATCCAGCCTAATTACTGTTTGTCAGGAGGGAGGAGAGGGGAATAAGCCCTCAGACACTGCCCCTTGACCTTATTCCTTGGGGCCATAGTGGCCTATGACCAAAGCTCCCCAACATGGGTACCCCCGTCCACTCTCAGCCTTCACCTGAAGTGAGCCAGCCACAGAGCCTTTATTTCAATGCAGCTACAAGAAACATTCATTCTTTTGGCCTCAATTGATCCCTGGATCCAAAGCAAACTGAAAAACAAGGTTATCTTTGTATGTGAGGCACCTAAGACCAACAAGAAGGCAGAGCCTACAAGGTTCAAGGAAAACCATGATGAGAACCTAGAAGAGTTAAATATCCAAGACTTTCGACTTGTACAGCTGAACCCCTTATTTGTTGCAAAGGCCAGTGCCACATTAGACCAACAGAAAAAGTTGAGTGCCCAGAAACGGTCTGCCTGCTACCTCACCTCTGTCCTCTCTCCATTTCTCTAAACCACTCAAATACAAGTCACAGGCCACAGGGTCCTGGGCTCGGGATCAGGAAACAGCTCCAGATCCTTGCCAAAACCTCCAGATAGATCAGTTCTTTGGGCCCAACCCCCAACTCCCTAAGGATGCTTCTCAGGCTCCCGAGAAAATGACCTATACTTACCTTCAATAAATAAATGAGTGTGACTCTACTCACCACGACTGTTCCCTTCATCAGAGGCTGCACTGAAACACAAGTCTCCTCACTCTGGGTTGTGTTCCTTCCACTCAGCACATGTCCTTTTCATGAAGGGAGACAGAGGACAGAACCAAAGCTGTTCTGGATGGCCAGCCTGCCTCCCTAAATCAAGCCCTTGTCTATGCCCAGAACTTAATGATAAAGCTAGTGAGTTGTGCCTCTGCCCAGAGGATGCTGCTGAAGGGAAAATAGGAGAAAATCCTGGAAAGCTTGGCTCTTGGTCCATTTCCTCTTACAAACTTGCCCACTTCCCTCTCAGTGGTCAGGAGATAACTGAGCTGTCGTCAAGACCAACCCCGCTCTGCTGTCTCTTCTCCTACAACTACTTTCTACCTAGCTCAGGGCCATTCCCTCCGACAGATCCTATTCATTCTCCCAAACTGCTTTAGTTTCTCCCTTGTTTACTGAAGGCTAGTTTCCCTTTGCCAGCAGTACCTGCCACACCAATCCCTACAAGCTATATTCTCACCCATCAAGAAAAAAAAGCCCAGACGTTGGAATCAGATAGTCTGAAATCTAGGGTCTAACATTCACTTGATCTTTGATTCTGGACAAGTTACTTACCTTTCTGACTATTCCTCACCTACAAAATGAAGAGAATAATGTATACTTCTTCAGAGAGTTCCTGTAAGGATTAATAATACAAAGCCTAACAGCGCCTGGCATTACACAGTAAGCACCCAAATGTGAGCTTTTCCCTTTTCCTCTCTTCAGTGCTGTCATGGGTGCCTGTGACAACCAGAGGTTAAAAATGTTCTGCCACTCTCATTTACTGCCCTCATCTCACTTGAGTAATCTAATGGGAGATCAAGTTTTTTCCACCAAACAAAGAAAGATCAAAGTTAAACAGATGTTACCGCCCAGTCGGTGTGGCTCAGTAGATTTGAGTGTCATCCCATGGACTAAGAGGTCCCGGTTCAATTCCCAGTCAGGGCACATGCCCGGGTTTCGGGCTCAGTCCCCAGTAGGGGATGTGCAGGAGGCAGCTGATCGATGTTTCTCACGTGGATCTTTCTCTCTCTCTCTCTCTCTCTTTAAAAAAAAAAAAAAAATCAGCCCTGGCCCGTTTGGCTCGGTGATTAGAGCATCTGGCCTGTGGTCCCAAGAGACCCGGGTTGGGTTCCCGCCCATGTACCTCAGTTGTAGTTTGTCCCCGGCCCTGGTTGGATCATGCGGGTGGCAGCCACTCGATGTGTCCCTTTCACGTCGATGTTTCTCTCTCTTTCTCTTCCCCTTTCTCCCTCCCACTCTATCTGAACAAAAAAATGGGGAAATGTCCTCAGGTGAGGATAAAAAAAAAAAAATCAATAAAAACATATTTAAAAACAAATGTTCCCTTCCACTTCCCCATACTCCAGATTCTACAGTGGTCCATAGTCATTCTGAATCCAGTGTGGTGTATGTCATTCAGATTTATCTCCCCACCTGTCCTATCACATCCAGATTTGTGTTTTGCCTGATAGAGAGTTGTAAGAAAAACCAAGTCATTTCACTACCCTAGAGTATAAGCAACACTGCCTCTGATGGTGTGGCACAAAGACCAAAGACAGGAAAAATGATCTTCCTCTCTTGCCTATTCTGCAGTGTTGGGCTAATAAGCAACATAACCCAAATTTCCCTGGACCTTAACAGTCTGTGGGTATAAATAAGGCCTTATGAACTACACTAATTCTCAACCCCTGCAAAATACTGCCCACAGAGCTGCAACCCATCCTCCTCCATATTTCTGGGTCTCTCCAGAGAATGTCTTATTATTTGGCCAGATACCAGTCTCTGCTCAGTAAGACCCCAATCCTAATTTCACCAATCCTCACCAGAAGATTAAGACAGCATTGACATAGTACTCACCATCTGGTATACCACCAGCTATGGCCAGATTCTCTTGAAGGCCTGAAATGCTCACTCCTCTCAGCCATCAGTTGGACCCTGGCCAGTTTTGCTCAGCAGTTAAAGCCTCGACCCACGAACCAATGAGTCATGGGTTCAATTCTAGTCAAGGGCACGAACCTGGGTTGCGATTCCTCCCGGTCCCTGGTTAAAGTCGTGCAGAAGACAGCTACTAGATGTGTCCCTTTCACGTTGATGTTTCTTTCTTTCTTTCTTTCTCCCCCCCCCCCCCACTCTATCTGGAAAAAAAAAAAAACTGAAAAATGTCCTCAGGTGAGGATAAAAAAAAATCTGTTGGGACTGAATCCTGGACACCATCCTAAATATAATTCCCCCCTTCTCTCTTTCTAATGGGATCTGTCAATACAAATAGCATTGACACCTTCCACGTCTTCTCAAACATTCTCATTCATCTCTGTGCTGTAACTGAAATCTGGCTCTCTTGAACTGGCCTTTTCCTGAAATCTCAGGTGTTGCTCATCTTCCTATATTCCTTTCAATGTCACTACTGTCCTGTACCTTCACATAAAAATCATTGTTTCTTTCTTGCCCAGCCGGTATGGCTCAGTGGTTGAGTACTGACCCATGCACCAAAAGGTTGCCGGTTTGATTCCCAGTCAGGGCACATGCCCAGATTGTGAGCCCGATCCCCAGTGGAGGCCTGCAGAAAGCGACCAATTGATGTTCTCTCTCATTGCTGTTTCTCTCTCTCTCTCCTTCTCCTTCCTCTCTCTCTAAAATCAATAAAGAAAAATTACTTAAAAAAAAATTCTAGTATACAGCTAGGATGAAGAAACACTATTATAGTCTTATTTTAATCATATGCACTCTCATAAGTGATATGTTAATGACTCTCAAATCTTTGTCTAGTAGATTCATTCATTTAGTCAATATTCACTGAGTACCTAACCTGTGCCTCATACTGTTCTAAGCACTGCGGTAGAACAGTGGACAACAGACAAGATCCCCTACTCTCCTGAAGCTCATATTCTAATCAAGGAGAAAGAAGTTCACACCCACAAAAAGATCATTTCAAATACTAGTAAGTACTGTGAAGACATTACAAGAGGTGATGTGAGAGTAACTAGGGAGAGGCAGTATTTTATTTTTTTTATTCTCACCCAAGGACATTTTTTCATTTTTTTGTTCAGATAGAGCGGGAGGGAGAGAGAGAAACATCAACGTGAAAGGTACACAACAAGTGGCTGCCATCTGCATGACCCAACCAGGGCCAGGGACGAACTGCAACGAAAGTACATGCCCTTAGCAGGAACCGAACCCGGGTCTCTCTGGACCGCAGGCCAATGCTCTAACCACTGAGCAAAACCGGCCAGGGCAAGAGGCAGTATTTTAAGACAGAAAAGCCAGAGAGACCTGGGAGGAAGGGAAGAATTTGTCCCAACATTGTAGTACAAAGGAGTTAGCTATATGACTTTCTGAGGAACAAGAATCCTAGACAAAGCATATACAAAATACTGAAGCAGAAGCATATTTGGTACCAACAAGAATTATGACCAATGTGCTTAAAGCAAGGTAAGTATGGATGGTATATAATGAAGCTGGAGAGAGAGACGAGCTAGATCTGACAGGGTTTGTAAGCTAGGATAAGGAATCTATTGCCTACGTGCAACAGAAAAGTCAGTGAAAGGATTTTTTTTCTTCTTTTTGCATTTATCATTAGGTAGAGCAGGAGGAAAGAGAGAGAGAAACATCGATGTGAGAGAGGCACATCGAGTGGTCGCCCACACAACCCCAAACGGGGCTGGGGACAACTGCAACCGAGGTACATGGCCTTAGCGGGAACCAAACCCGGGACTCTCTGGTCCGTGAGCCAATGCTCTAACCGCTGAGCCAAATCGGCCAGGGCTAGTGAAAGGATTTTAAAGAGGCATGACATATGGTCTGATTTACATCCTTACAGTATCATTTGGCTACTGTATGAAAAATAGATTTTAGCCCTGGGTGGTTTGGCTCAGTGTTGGCCCTTGGACCGAAGGGTCGCAAGTTCAATTCCCAGTCAAGGGCACATACCTCAGCTACAGGTTCAATCCCTGGCCCTGGACGGGGTCATGCAGGAGGCAACCAATCAATGTGTCTCTCACATCGATGTTTCTCTCCCCCTCCATTCCACTTTCTCTAAAAATCAATGGAAAAAATATCCTCATGAGGATTAACAACAACAACAAAAAAGCACCTTGTATTTATTCTAATTGGAGCACTTATCAGACTGTATACAGAATTGTGTTTGCTTGATGGGCAACATATCCAGCATCTGGTACAGGGCCTGTCCTAGACTCTTGGTAAGGGTAGAAGAAATAGTTTTTAATGAATACCAAATAGTCCTGGCCGGTTTGGCTCAGCGGTTAGAGCATTGGCCTGCGGTCCTGAGAGACCCAGGTTCGGTTCCCGCTAAGGGCACGTATCTCGGTTGCAGTTTGTCCCCGGCCCTGGTTGGGTTGTGTGGGTGGCCACCACTCGATGTGTCCCTTTCACGTCGATGTTTCTCTCTCTCTCTCTTTCTCTCTCTCCCTCCCACTCTATCTGAACAAAATATTGAAAAATGTCCTCGGGTGAGGATTAAAAAAAAAAAAATGAATACCAAATAACACATCATGTTCACTGGTATCTTAACCCTAACTTACTGAATTCTTACTCCCTTAGACCTCCATATTCCCAATACCTAGAATACTGTCCCAAATAAACGGTTCTAAATTGTAAACCAGAACTATCAAAATCACCTGGCAAGCTTGACATAAGATTCCCAGTCCTACCTCCCACACCCCCACCAAGATCTGATCCAACAGACCTGAGATGAGGCCTAAGAATCTAATTTTGACAACTTCCTCACGTGATTCTGACGTGCAGTCATTCTTTAGAAACTATTCTAAACAGAGTAGATGCTCAATAAATATTGTTGAAAGTAACATTTTAATTTAATGAAGTAGAATTCGTTTCCTAATTCTTCTGGGTTAGAATCTGGGTGTGACAAAACAATGCGCTAACATACAAAAATCCACAAAACAAGCAGCCTTTATTGCAGTATTACAAAACACTTTCCATTTTGGCAATATTTTACAACGCACTTAGCTTCAAGGGTTAGGAAGAAGAAAGTTGGAAACTAAAGGGGAAAATTTCAACAGACATTACTAAAAGAAAAACTGCCCCAGCCCTCCCACACAAATAAAATTCTAAATGTCACTTAATTTAACTACCCAAGAAGAGGCCACGAGGAAAGCAGCAGGCAAAACTCTGGCAATTTCACTATGGATCATGTCAGAGGAAAAGGAACATTCAAAACAGTTATCAGTATGGTCGGTTGCGCTGATCATTTCTGTAGTCGTTTCTAGGAATGAAAAATAAAGAGCCAGGCTAAATTCTAATTTTCTACCAAAGGGGAACATCAAACACTTCTTCAGGGTGCTAGTGACTGGCACGAGCTTGACAATTTCTGCAAGGATGGCACTATGCCTGATTTATTTCTCTACTCCTAGTAGTGTGTAGTAAATGTCTTACCAGCTTTAAGATCCATGAAGTTCCTAAAAGCAGTTTTACTATCACCAACTCCCTTAAAATTTTCCACCTAGAATAAAGACTCCAAACCACTGTGGTATTTCAGGTCAGAGATTGTGCCAATTCCAGCACTCTGAACAGAGCAATGGAATAAGCAAGCAAACACTTTCATGTAAGAATTCTAGATCTGCCACTTACTGTGTGACCTTGGAAAAGTTCCTCAACATTTCTAACTGTAAAATAGAAAGTACATCTACTTTATGGGATTGACAGGAGGACTAGAACTAAAATACAGGGTGGGGCAGAAAGCAGGTTTACAGTAATGGAAAATAATACAATAAATAATAAACTTTAACCCTGGCTGGGTGGGCTCAGTTGACTGGAGCGTCATCCCATACACCAAAGGGTTGCAGGTTCACTTCCCAGTCAGGGCACATACCTAGGCTGTGGGTTCAATCCCTGTTTGCACATTGTTGGGGTGCATACAGGAGGCAACCGGCTGATCAATGTTCCTCTCTCTCTGAAGATCAGTGGAAACATATCCTCTGGTGAGGATTAAAATTAATTAATTTAATTAATTAAAAACATATCTATTTTTTAAAAATAAACTGATTCGCATACTCACAACTGTAAATCTACCTTTGCCCACCCTGTATATACAGACACTTTGATAGGATTTGCCACATGGTAAGAAGTACTCAATAGATGATAATTACTAATAGCTAACAATCACACAGTACTTACTATGGGCCAGCAACTATTATAACATAATCTAATACAACTCCATGAAGGAGGTATTATTAGCCCCACTGTACACATGCAAGTACTGATGCTCCAAAGGGTTAAAAGTAACATGTGCAAGGTCACATAGCTTGTTAAGTGGCAGAGCCAATATCTGAACCCAGACAGTTTGTCTCCAAACTCTGTGCTCTTAACTGCATGCTATACTAATTTTATCCTGTACTCCCTCTGGCATAGAAATGTTTTATTTTATATCAATTGCTACTCAATGTTTTCTGCCTCTACACCATTCATGTGCACTACACAACACACTCCCATTAGTACCATCAGTGATTTTCATCTGGAAAAGGTATTACCAGAATCGCCAAGAAAACAACTGCAGGGTATATAGCACATGTGATTGGAAAAAGCACACCCCCACAAAAGGTGTGTTCTCCCCCACCACTGAGATGAAGAATCCCTGATTTATATAGTTTCAAATCACCTCTCAATCTCAATTATCTTTAGCTATGAGGATGAATAATATACCACACTTATACAAACATAAAGATTTATGAATAAGAATTTCCAAAACAACAAATTTTAGAAACTGCTGAGGAGGAAACTAAATGGATCCTTTCCATCCTGACAGAATTGCCAATGAGAAATTCAAATTTAAAAAAACTAGACAATAAAAAAATGTGACAAAAATAGCTCAAATTAAAATCTAAGAGCAGTGAGGTACAAAGATACTCTAGTACTCACCTTCCTCCCATTTTGCCTCCATAGCCACCTCGGTCTCCTCCATAGCTGCCACCACTCCTATCTCCTCCATAGCCTCCACTTCGGTCTCCACCATAGCCACTGCCACAACCACGGTCTCCTCCGTAGCCCCCCCCACTTCGGTCTCCACCATAGCCTCCTCGGTCCCCACCGTAGCCTCCTCGGTCCCCACCGTAGCCTCCTCGGTCTCCACCGTAGCCTCCTCGATCCCCACCGTAGCCTCCTCGGTCCCCACCGTAGCCTCCTCGATCCCCACCGTAGCCTCCTCGGTCCCCACCATAGCCTCCTCGGTCTCCTCCATAGCCGCCTCCTCGGTCTCCTCCATAGCCACCTCGGTCTCCTCCATAGCCGCCACCTCTGTCCCCACCATAGCCACCTCCACTTCTATCTCCACCATAGCCACCTCCACTTCTGTCTCCTCCATAGCCACCCCCACTTCTGTCTCCACCATAGCCACCCCCACCTCTGTCTCCACCATAGCCACCTCGGTCTCCACCTCTGCCCCCACGACCTCTATAGCCCCTCTCTCCACCGTAGCCTCTTCCCCGGAAATCTGCAAGGTAGAAATGGAAACCAATGAGGTCAGCAAAATAATGTAAAGCTTCCTTAATGCTAGTCAAAAGATAAATACCATGTACATGCTATTAAAAGACTGACCCAAAAAGCTAACCTACCTCCTCCTGAGGGACGAGAGTCTTCTGGTCTGGGTTCATTGCACTGATTGCAGGAATTCCTTCGAGCAAAGTTCATATTTCCACATGACCTGAGAAGGAAGGAAAATAAAATGCTCCTCAATAGCCTCCTATGGATTCAGAACTTCTACTCCCACCAAAGTAAATGGGATACTTACGGATTAGGGCAAACCCAGTCCCCACTTTTGGGGTCTCCACCTCTCCCCTGAAAGCCTCCACGGCCTCTATATCCACCACGGCCTGGGAGGGGCGGGGTATGGGAGGAAGGGAGAAAAATCAGCAGTAGACATTAACAAGGCAGGAAAAAAAGCACCAGATGAAAGAACTAAGAGCAAGTGCCTACCATGAACTGAACAGCCCTCCCACCCTTATGGTAGGCCTCTGTGATTCTTTGAGTCTTTATGTAGTAAATGCAAGAAATGTGGGAAAGACCCCAGATATACTTTACAGTGTCAATCATGCACTTAAATGCTTTTCGATAATACCCTCCTCGCTTTATCACTAAGAATCTCACTGATAAAGGTTTAAGTGAGAAGAAATATTCCAAATTTAAAGAATTAGACCCAACAGAAATGAACATGCTGGCAGTAACTATCAACAAACTTACAAAGTGGTAGGATTAAGTACCTAATTGGGTATCATTTAAATTATTCTCTTCTGACTTCCAGGTAAATAACAAACTGCTATCCAGCTTTCCAAGGGGACATTTAGAACCTTCTCCCACTACTCTCTTAGGTGCCTCATCTCCTTATTTACTTCATCTATTTAGTACCTGTCACCTTAACACAGAGGAAAAACACCAAGGAAGAGAAAGAGGTGGTAGCAAGTTCACACAATGGGAACAGAACATACACTCAAATTCAAACCCTTTGTACAATATCCAGGCCAGTAAACAACAAGTATCTTACCTCGCCGCCCACCTCCACTTCCACCCCCTCTCATAAATTCAGGTCTTCTGGTGGCAAAGGACACTTTAATGATGTTGCCATGAAATTCTTTCCCTAAAAAAAAAAAATACTTTGGAGAAATGCTACCCCACATCTGCGCTTCTCAACAAAACTGTTAAACTGTCTTGGGTATTTTTAATTTCAGATGAATAAGTGGCATGTCCTCACAAAAATTCAAACACACTAGTGTACCTAGTGGTCAAGGTAACCGTACTAAAATGTGACAAAATCTATTGAATAGAGCAGATCTGTCACTGGGAGAGTCACTTATTACTAAGCAAAAATAAAGCCAGAGGAAGGGAGAGATAAAAACATCGATGTGAGAGAAACATCCATCGGCTGCCTCCTGCACGCCCCCTACTGGGGATCAAGCCCACAACCCAGGCATGTGCCCAGACCGGGAATCAAACTGGGACCTCTCAGTCCATGGGACGACATTCAATCTACTGAGCCACATCTAGTATTTTTAGATGAACAATTTGTATAGTTTGATATCATTTTTTTTTAAAGGGAATGAGTTGTGCACATTACCTATATATGCACCCATATGCTTATATATGTACTGCCTATTGTACTTAACGCTCAATAGGGGAAACAAGACCACTGATGGAGATGGGGTGTCAAAAGGTGAAAAGGAAACTCATTTTTTACTATATACTCTTAATACTGTGTGAAATTTTACAATATGCAAGTAGTATCTTTAAAAATAGTGTATGTGTGCCCTGGCCGGTTTGGCTCAGCGGTTGAAGTGTCGGCCTGCGGTACAGAGAGAACCGGGTTCGGTTCCCGCTAAGGGCATGTACTTCGGTTGCAGTTTGTCCCCGGCCCTGGTTGGTCGTGCGGGTGGCAGCCACTCGATGTGTCCCTTCACATCGATGTTTCTCTCTCTCTCTTCCTCTCTCTCCCTCCTGCTCTATCTGAACAAAAAATGGAAAAATGTCCTTGGGTGAGGATAAAAAAAAAAAAAATAGTGTATGTGTATGTGATTAAATATATACACACATACACAAATTCTGCTGCCCTAGGGCCTTCGAGACAGAAATTAACCTTTTTACTTTATATTAAATAAGAGAACTGACATATAAGGAAAAGATAACCAAGGATTCATAAAATGGTTTTATTTATTTTTTATTTTTTTTTATCCTCACCTGAGGACATTTTTCCACTTTTTGTACAGACAGAGTGGGAGGGAGAGAGAGGAAGAGAGAGAGAGGGAAACATCGATGCGAAAGGGACACATCGAGTGGCTGCCACCCGCACGACCAACCAGGGCCGGGGACAAACTGCAACCAAGGCACACGCCCCTAGCGGGAACCGAACCAGGGTCTCTCCGGACCGCAGGTGGATGCTCTAACCGCTGAGCCAAACCAGCCAGGGCCATAAAATGGTTTTAAATTAAAGAGCCTTAGCTTCCTGAACAAAGCCCTAATCACTGTGGCTGAAAATTTTCCACGATGTCAGATAGTATGACATGCATTTTGACATAGGAAGCAACCATAAATTGTTATTTTATTTATTTAATATATTTTGATTTTTTTGGAGAGATAGAAATATCAATGTGAGAGAGACGTATCAATTGACTGCCTCCTGCATGACCCCTGCTGGGGATCGAGCCTGACCGGGAACTGAACCGAGATCTCTCAGTCCATAGGACAATGCTCAATCCACTGAGCCACACCGGCTGGGCATGTATCGTTATATTATTTATTTTTTAAAAATTTTTTATTCTCACCCAAGGACAATTTTGCATTTATCTTCAGATAGAGCGGGAGGGAGAGAGAGAAACAAACATCGATGTGAGAGAGACACATTGACTGGTTACCATGCACACAACCCCAACCGGGGCAGGGCCAAACTGCAACCGAGGTACATGCCCTTAGTGGGAACTGAACCAGGGACTCTCTGGTCCACAGGCCAACACTCTAACCGCTGAGCCAAACTGGCCAGAGTGACAAATTATTTTTAAGCTACATTTTTAAAAGCTGGGAAGTTAATAAAAAATATTATCAGTAGTTATCTCTAAGTAGAGGACTATAGCTGCTTTACTCCTTGTTTTTTATCTTTATTTTTTAATGTATTACAGGTGTCCCTCCTTTTTCCCCTATTGACCCTCTCTCCTCCCCACTCCCTCCTGCCTTCCCCAAACTATTGTCTGTGTCCACTGGTTATACATACATGCATTAAGTTCTTTGCTTTATCTCCTCCCACCCTCTCCCCACTTCCCTTTAAGGTTTGTCAGTCTAATAACCAATTTGTACTTCTTAATTCCTTCACCTTTTGCACCCATTTCCCCAAGCCCCCACCCATCTGGCAACCAACAAAAAGTTCTCTGTATCTTTGAGTCCACTTCTGTTCTTCTTGTTCATTGCTTGTAGATTGAACATTTCATATAATACTGATTTGGTGGTGATGAACTCCTTTACCTTTTTCTTGTCTGGGAAACTATATGTCCATCAATTCTAAACAATAGCTTTGCAGGATAGAGTAATTGTTAGCTGTAGGTTCTTGTTTTTCATCAGTTTGAATATTTCTTGCCACTCCCTTTTGGCCTGCAAAGTTTCTTTTGAGAAATCAGCTGACAGTCTTATGGGAGCTCCCTTGTAGGTAACTACTTTTCTCTTCCCGCTTTTAAGATTCTTTAACCTTTCACATTTTGATTATGATGTGTCTTGTTGTGTGGGCCTCTTGGGGTTCATCTTGTTTGGGACTCTGTGCTTCCTGGACTTGTATGTTCTTTTTCTTCACCAAGTTAGGGGAGTTTTCTGTCATTATTTTTTCAAATAGGTTTTCAATTTCTTGCCCTCTTCTCCCTCTGGCACCCCCATGATTTGAATGTTGGTACACTTGAAGTTGTCCCAGAGGCTCTGTACATTATCCTCACTTTTTTGGATTCTTCTTTCTTTCTGCTGTTCTGATGGGGCGTTTTTTGCTTCCTTATGTTCCAAATCAATGGTTTGCTTCTTGGTTTCCTCTACTCTACTATTGATTCCCTTTATTCTTTATTTCAGTTAGTGCCTCCTTCCTTTCCGACTATGCATCCTTCACTTCTGACTGGTCCTTTTTTATGCTCTTGAGGTCCTCACTAAGTTTCATGGAGCATCCTTATAACCAATGTTTTGATCTCTGCATCTGTTAGACTGCTTATCTCTATTTTGTTTAGTCCCTTTTTTTTTAATCCTCACCCGAGGACATTTTTCCATTTTTCACTCAGATAGAGCGGGAAGGAGAGAGAGGAAGAGAGAGAAACATCAATGTGAAAGGGACACATCGAGTGGCCGCCACCCACACGACCCAACCAGGGCTGGGGACAAACTGCAGCCAAGGTACATGCCCTTAGCGGGAACCGAACCCCAGTCTCTGTGGACCGCAGGCTGACGCTCTAACGCTGAGCCAAACCGGCCAGGCTATTTTGTTTAGTTCTTTTCCTGTAGTTTTGTTCTGTTCTTTCACTTGGGACCTGTTTCTTTGTCTCCTCATTTTGGCTGCCTCCCTATGTTTGTTTCTATGTATTAGGTAGAGTTGCTATGTCTCCTATGCCTGTAGTGGGTGTCCTGTAGGGTTCAGTGGCCCAGTCTCCCTGATCACCCGAGCTGTGCCCTCGAGGTGCACCCCTCATGTGGACTGTACACCCTTTTTTTGTAATTGAGCCTTGATTGCTGTTGGGATGTCAATGGGAGGGATTTACTCAGGCTGATCTGCTACAAGGTCTAGCTGTGACCACTAACCACCAACCTCTGCCTAGCTTGGATGATCAGCTGTGTAGCAGCCTCCCACACAGAGCAAGACTTACTTCAGCAGAGCTCTGGTACCCACTGAGTCCACTCCTTGTGTCGCTTGTGAAGGTGGTTCGGTGATGGTGCTTCACCATGGTCTGAAGCTGTCTACTGGGTGTGCTGGCTCTGGGGCAAGGTCAGCCACTGCCTGTGCTCTACCTGGGGCAACCAGGTATAAGCTACAAAGCAATATGTGGATGGCTTCTTCTTGTGCTGGGCTTGGAGAAGCCCAGGTATAGCCAGGTTATGAACCAAGGCTCACTGCTCCTAGTGCCAGGCCTGGGGCCAATTAGTGAGAGGTATGGGGCTCACTGAGGCCAGATGCTGCTTTTTTAGAGAATTTACGAAAATCTGAAGCAGGAACCAAGACAGGCCATTCCTATGGTAAAGCCACTGAAAACAGCTTGCATAGGCCCGAAAGTTGGGTGGAACAGAGCCTCAGAGAATCACCAGGGCGGAGCAAACAGTATGAGCCAGGTTGCTGGAGTCCAAGATATGGGGGCTGTCTGCTGGCCTCGTGGAGGAAGGGCTCACCAAACCTCCGCCAGCATGTTTATCCAGGAGAAAGCTGCCTCTCCAGCCCTCGCCTCGATGCCAAACTATTTAGTTCTTCCCCTTGTCTCTGGTGCCTCTCAAGCTGCCTCTCCAATACTGGAGTGAGTCAGAGTTAAGTCTGTGAGCAGGCCCTTTAAGAGGAACTGCCTAGGACTCCAGCAGCTTCAGCCTCCCTCAGCCTCAATTCCTGGTGGTTTTTATAGCCAGAAGTTATGGGGGCTTCTCTTCCTGGCACTGTAACCCTGAGCTGGAGGGGGCTGGTGTAGGACAAGGACCCCTCACTTCCAAGGTATCCCTCCTAATTTTTTGTTTTTTAGTTTTTTTCATTTGTTCATTTTTTATCTTTATTGTTGAATGTATTACAGATGTTCCTCATTTTCCCCCCATTGACCTCCTCTTCCCCACTCCCATCCCCTCCTGCCTTTTCCCACACTATTGTCTGTGTCCACTGGTTATGCATACAAGTTCTTTGGTTTATTTCTTCCCACCCCCAACCCCTTTCCCTTTGAGGTTTGTCAGTCTAACAATGAATTTGTACTTCTTAATTCCTTCACCTTTTTCACCCATTCCTCCAACACCCTCCCCCCCCAACTGGCAACCAACAAAATGTTCCCTGTATCTATGAGAATGTTTCTGTTCTGCCTGTTCATGTTGTTTGTAGATTCAATTGTCGATAGGTATGTATTCATTGCCATTTTGTTTGTTCATATATTTTATCTTTTTCTTCAAAAAGAGCCTTCATCATTTCATATAATAACAATTTCGTGATGATGAACTCCTTTAACTTTTTCTTGTCTGGGAAACTCTATATGGCCATCGATTCTAAATGACAGCTTTGCAGGATAGAGGAGTCTTGGTTGTAGATTCTTGCTTTTCATTACTCTGAATATTTCTTGCCACTTCCTTCTGGCCTGCAAAGTTTCTTTTGAGAAATCAGCTGACATTCTTATGGGAACTCCCTTGTAGGTAACTAACTGCTTTTCTCTTGCTGCTTTTAAGATTCTCTCTGTCTTGAACCTTTTGCATTTTGATGATGTGTCTTGGTGTGGGCCTCTTGAGGTTCATCTTGTCTAGGACTCTCTGTGCTTCCTGGACTTATATGTCTGTTTCCTTCACCAAGTTAGGGAAGTTTTCTGCCATTATTTTTTCAAATAGATTTTTGATTTCTTGTTCTCTCTCTTCTCCTTCTGGCACCCCCAAGATGCGAATGTTGGCACGCTTGAAGTTGTCCCAGAGGCTCCTTACACTATCCTCATTTTTTTGGATTTTTTCTTTTTGCTGTTCTGATTGGGTGTTTTTTGCTTCCTTATGTTCCAAATCGATGGTTTGCTTCTTGGCTTTGCCTACTCTACTATTGAATCTGTGTAAATTATTCTTTATTTCAGTTAGTGCCTCCTTCTCCTTTCTGACTATGCATCCTTCACTTCTGACTCGTCCTTTTTTTATGCTCTTGAGGCCCTCACTAAGTTCACTGAGGTTCTAAGTTCATTGAGCATCCTTATAAGCAGTATTTTGAATTCAGCATCTGTTAGGTTGCTTATCTCCATTTCACTTAGTTCTTTTCCGGGGGTTTTGTTCTGTTCTTTTATTTGGGACCTGTTTCTTTGTCTCCTCATTTTGGCTGCCTCGTTGTGTTTGTTTCTATGTATTACTTAACGAGAGGTATGGGGCTATCTGAGACCAGATGCTGCTTGTTTGAAAGAATTTAGGAAAACCTGAAGCAGGATCCAAGACAGGCCAATCCTATGGTTAAGCAAGTGCCAACAGCTTGGGTGGGCCTTCAAGTTGGATGGGGCAGGGCCTCAGGGATTCATTAGGGCGGGGCAACCAGTGTGAGCCAGGTTGCTGGAGTCCCAGATATGGTGGCTGTGTGCCACCCCAGGGAAGGGCTCACCAAACAAAGGTTTGTCCCAGAGAAAGCCCCCTCTCCAGGCCTCACTCCAATGCCAAACAGCTCAGTTCTTCCCTGTATGTCTCTGGCACATACAGGGCTGCCTCCCCTCCAAGCTTAGAGAGAGTGAGTCCAATAAGTCCGTGTGCGGGCCCTTTAAGAGCAGCTGCCTGGGGCTCCAGCTGCCTCAGCCTCCCTGAGCCTCAGTTCTCACTGGTTTTTCCAACCAGAAGTTATGGGGACTTCTCTTCCTGGCACTGGGACCCCGAGCAGGGTGCCTGGTGTGGGATGAGGACCCCTCAGTCCTCAGGGAGGACCTTCCCAACCAAGGTGTCCTCCTGATTTTTATCCACCACACGTGGGTATGGGACCAGACCATCCGCGTCCACCTCCACCTCTCCTACCAGTCTCGATGTGGCTGCTACTTTAATTTTGTAGTTGTAGGACTTCCATTCAGCTTGATTTCAGGTGGTTTTGAATGATAGTTGTTCTGTAGTTTAGTTGTAACTTTGATGTGGTTGTAGGAGGATGCGATAGCATGTTTACCTACATCGCCATCTTGCCCGGAAGTCCGTCTCCCTCCTAATTTTTATCCACCACACAGGGGTGTGGGACCAGCCTGTCTGCATCTCTGCCCCTCCTATTAGTCTCGATGTGGCTTCTTCTTTCATTTCTTCATTGTAGGACTTCCATTCAACTTGATTTCAGGTGGTTTTGAATGATGGTTGTTCGTAGTTTAGTTGTAATTATGATTGGTTGTGGGAGATGAGTAGCACGTTTACCTACACCACCATCTTGACTGGAAGTCCCTACTTTTGATACTTATTTTTCAGGGGGAAAAAGTGTTATTATTTCTTCTAAGTATGTATTAACTTTGTATTTGAAAGAAAATTAATCTAAATTTTAAAAGAATATAGTCAATCAGGCCAATCCTCTACATCTATATCAGAGTGGCCTCAAAGCACAAGGCATGATATATAAGGAAATATTCTAGAAAAAAACGAGAGAGTTCATCTCATTTCTAAAGATATGTAAAAATTTTGGCCTGTATTCTTAATAAAATTAGCTATAAAAGTAAACATAGCCCTGGCCGGTTTGGCTCAGTTCAGCGGCTGGAGCATCGGCCCACAGACCAGAGACCTGGGTTCGGTTCCGCTAAGGACACGTACCTCAATTGCAATTTCTCCCCAGCCCCAGTAGCAACCAGTTGATGTGTCTCTCTCACATGGATGCTTCTCTCTCTCTTCCCTCCTCTCTCCCTCCTGTTCTATCTGAAGATAGATGCAAAAATGTCCTCAGATAAGGAAAAAAAAAAAAGTAAACATAAAAATAACCACTGTCTAACAGAACATATTTTGACTTCAAGACTAGGAAACATTTATCCAAACTGCAGTTAAAATTATATGAATGAGGTATACCATCAAACCAGTCAATGGCTGCCTTAGCTGAAGGAGGGTCATCAAACGACACTGTTGCCTCCCCTTTTGGCTTCCCTGTGTCCTTGTCTGTGTACAGATTTATCATTGGTTTTCCGGTCTTCTTGTTTGTCTGAGGAACAAACAAACTGGTGTTAGTATGTTAAGGAAAAATGATCTGGAACCATATAATTTATTATTTTAATGGAATTCACACATCTCAGTCTTTAGATTCAAATACAGGACTAAAGCTCATAAAATACTATGTACCTTTTATAAAAATGAAGTTAACTGTAGTTGTATAAAAGAAAATACTCTAAGATACATGAAGCAAAACTCAAGCTAAAAATAATACATAGTATACTGTTTTATCTATGTAGAATTTTTTTAAACCCACAAAAAAAAAAAATGTAAGTAATGTTTCATGTAAATATATAACTTGTAAAAAAAGTTTAAAGGCCAGGAAGTTTCACTAAGCAAATCAATACATTACCAATAAGATTGATTACCAATTAGATTTGGCTGGAATGGGAATGGAAGACAAAGGAGAATTTTTACTTAATCAAACCTGTCAATTTTTTACATATTTCATGTATAATTAATTTCTTAAGAAGTTTTAACTTCCCAGTGGGGGAAAAAATGAGTAATTCTACCAAAACAAGACAACTGCCAACTGATTTCAGGCAAATGCTAGAATATACTAACACTGCTCTAAATGATACTTTCTAGTTGAAGAGATGGAAAATATTTGCATGAACAAATAGCACACAAGGCATTTCAGTAAACAATAAAGTTATAAAACAGAGCACTGTATATTGGGCTAATATATGAAATACCCCCAGATATGAAATACCAAAATAAAAATTTGTTAGTAACAACCTGAGTTTGCATGCATTTGTATTTCAGAATCTATAAAATGTTCTTACAATCTCATTTGGTTCTTTTAATTTTAGGAGCTAGTCAGAGACTATTTTTAGAGCTCTAAGATTGAAAGTTAAATCTATGAAAAGTTGTAGAAAGGTAAATACAAGCAAGAAATAAAATCTTCATGTATTTAGCAAATGCCTGCAGACAAGGGTGAGCATGTGCATCAGTGAATTTTAAGAGACAAGTCTAGCCCTGGCCAGGAAGCTCAGTTGGTTAGAGTTGTAAACCTAATACACTAAGGTTGCAGGTTCAATCCCTAGTCAGGGCACATACAAGAATTAACCAATGAGCCCTGGCCAGTTTGGCTCAGCGGTTGGAGCATCGGCCTGCGGTACAGAGAGACCCGGGTTCGGTTCCCACTAAGGGCACGTACCTCGGTTACAGTTTGTCCCCAGCCCTGGTTGGTCATGCGGGTGGCAGCCACTCGATGTGTCCCTTCACATCGATGTTTCTCTCTCTCTCTCTTCCTCTCTCCCCTCCCGCTCTGTCTGAACAAAAAATGGAAAAATGTCGAGTGAGGATAAAAAAAAAAAAAAAATTAACCAATGAATCGTAAATAAATGGAATAAAGCAGTATTTCTCTCCCTAAATCAATAAATTAAATAATTTTTTAAAAAGGACAAGCCTTACTAGAGTATAGCCTTATTATGTAATCTATATATCTTAACCAGAATGTGTTAATGATTATGACATTATCATTTTTAACATAAGCCATACTTTTTCACTCACCTTGATAATTCCTATCTGTTTAAAGAACTCCCCCACTTGATCTGTAGACACACCCTCCCCAAGTCCTTGCACAAAGATTGTGTTGTTATCTGAATTATCAGATTCTGAATCTAAGAAGAAAAAAAAGTATGGTTAATTTTACATATTCCTTGGTTTTACTACATCCTGCTTAGTAATCAAGAATAATTTATTGTCCAATATTCAACTGTTTCTACGATCAAAAGGAAAAAGGACTAATATAAGAAAAATCTTATATATACATGCAAAGTGGTCACAATAGTCATTTGGTCAATTCTTACAAAAACTTAAGATGAAGTGGATCAAGTCCACACTTTGTAAAATACACAAGACCAATTAAGGGACATCTTACAACTCTCACTCTTTTAGATTCAGATACAGGACTAAAGCTCATGAAGAGATGAAGAAAGTTTATAAATTAGAACACCTTTCTTTGAAGAGCTTTAATTCTTTATGTCTAATCAATACTTTTAAGGATCTCTAGTAGAAAAGTCCCCAAATCTAACACTTTGGACTTCCAAGCAAGCCAAGCAGAAATGGTGGTTTCCCTGTTCACCGCAACAAGCTTTGTATATACCAGAGGGTAGGGGCACCTTGACACACACCTTACCTTACACGCACACTTTTGGATTAGTACAACAAAGTAAGAAAGATGTAAAAAATTCAGTCCATCAAGGGATAATTCAGAAATTGCCATCCATATAGAATACTTTGGCATCTTAATAAAAACAAAAGTTCTGATTTCAATATATATTAAAAGTTAAAAGTTTTTGCCTCAAAGATTTTAAATCTCTAAATTATAACTTTTCAGCCCTGGCCAAGTAGCTCAATTGGTTAGAGCATTGTCCCGATATGCCAAGGTTGCAGGTTCAATCCCCGATCAGGACATATACAAAAAACAACCAATGAATGCATAAATAAGTAGAACGAATCAATGTTTCTCTCTCTTTCTAAAAATCAATCAATAAATAAAATTTAACTTTCAAAAGACTCCATATTGCCTTGAATTTAAAAATAAAAAGCCACACAAAATTAGTGACTTCTGCCCAGAGTAAGACAATTCTCTCATGTATAAATTCAGGTTCCTTAGGCCCACTAAGGAGACTACCAATCCAATGTACTAGTTTCTTAAACAAAGCTTTTCTACTTCTAATTTCCCAATGGCACCAATTCCCTCTAATCTGATTTGTAGCGATTACATAATGCTAATTAGCTGTACAAAATCAAATATTTCTTCACAAAGGTAAAGGTAGACCATGGGAAAATACAAAAAAAACAATTTTTACAAGCAAACTTTCCAATCAATCCCCTTACATTTTTCTTTCTGGTAAGTCTTTATAAGTAAAGCTTCCCAGGTTTTGCAGCACTATCAAATTAACACTAACTCCTCCAAACACACACTTTTCCCTTGAAAAAAGTGGAAAACTAACATTCTTAACGGCAAAGTTATAAACTACCATAAACCTTACCAGCATCTGGTCTGGGTCCATAATCCCTGTGACCTAAGGAAAAAGAAAAGAAAAAGAAAAAAAAAAGCTATTTAAGATAACTCATTAGAAATCATTATAAAACAATAACCAAGGCATGAAAAGTCAATACTTCCAAAATCCTTGAAAGTCAACCATCACAGATTTACAAAGTAATTATATAAATTAAGTTTTACTAAAAGTTTAAGAAATCAAGATGAATGTCAATTATTTCCTTAAACTTGTCCCAAACAACACCTGCAACTTTGCCATTATGCTATTATCACTTTTGTTAAGCTCTGGTTGTGAAGGCTGATTGGAAAACCCTAATAATTTAAAAACACCATGTCAGCTACCTTTATTTTTAAAATGTACTGTCAAAATCCAGAGAAGATCTTATTCATTGGTCACCACAGACTCTTTCATGCAAATTCACTGTGTAGAAATCCATTGGACTGAGATCAACTTTGGCTTTTTAATGTTTTCTTTGGTATATATACATGTGTATATATATATATATATATAAAATATATATATTTTTTAAGAACACAACACACACCAGCCTCAACCGAGTAAGTAAAAAAGGGCTTAGACTGCATCTGCGAGATATTGGTGGCTTTTAGATTTATATAGCATTTCCACTGAAACATTTTGGGATACTCAGCACTTACCACCAAAATTTTTGAAGCCACCGCGGTCACCACCACTGCAGAGGAAAAATTGAAGAAATGATTTCTTCCTTAAGTCTCTAATGTGCTGAGCCCTGGGCTCAATCTACACTTAATTGTCACAAGTAGAGCACCTAGGAAAACAGTAGCACCTCTAACTTTCCAGTAAATTCCATTTCATAGACTTCAAAATGTTGTTTTTACCTAAGTGTTTTCCCAATCGTTTATTTCCACAAGGGTGTCTTTTGAAGTGTACTACAGAACGTATCTAATATATTTATTTTAAAGTCTTCCCAACCCCAAGCCAAAGGGATACTATTCAAATCATTACTTAAAGCTGGAGGCAGAGCATGAAGAATGCCAGAGAAAACAATCTTCCTAAGGAGATGTTTTTTTTAATATGAAAAAACAAGAACAATATAAAGAAGGCTAAGATTTTGATAGAATAGAAAATGTAAAACCTTGAGTACATGTTCTATTGTGATACAAAATAGTGGGTTTGATGAAATGAAAAAAGGAGAAGGGATTAAGAAATAAAAACTGGTAGTTACAGAACAGTCACGGATGTAAAGTACAGCATAGGGAATATAGTCAATAATATTCTAATAACTATGTATGATGTCAGATGGGTATGAGATTTATCAGGATGATCACTTAGTAAATTATACAGTGTATAAATACTAAGATGTACACCTGAACAAACATAATATTGTATGTTAACTGCAATTAAAAAATAAAAAATGAGTTTTAAAAAAAGTGAGGTATAAATAAATATACATGAAAGTAAACCTAAATGAAAGCAGTCTTACATTTGTAAATCATTCTGAAAGCTGATAAAATGAGAACTAAAAAACAGTTTAATTTAAAATTGCCCTCCAGCTCCATACCAACTATAATATAGTAGGATCTCTTCAGATAAGAGCTACCTAGATTCGTGTTGTCAAATGTTCTGTACACCAATCAGTGCACCATATCAGAGACAGAATGCAATATATTCCAATACTGAAGCTTCCTACAAGAATATGACTTAGTTGGTAAATTTCCGGATAAGTCAACAGTCCTTATGTGCACAGCTTTACAGTAAGAAATCTAAGCTCTCTCATCAAGAAACCTTTTAAACACCCATACATTGAAAGTTTCTTTCTTTCTTTCTTTTTTTTTTTTTATCCTCACCCGAGGACATTTCTCCATTTTTTGTACAGATAGAGTGGGAGGGAGAGAGAGGAAGAGAGAGAGAAACATCGATGCGAAAGGGACACATCGAGTGGCTGCCACCCGCACGACCAACCGGGGCCGGGGACAAACTGCAGCCGAAGTACATGCCCTTAGCGGGAACCGAACCCGGGTCTCTCTGGACCGCAGGCCGACGCTCTAACTGCTGAGCCAAACCGACCAGGGCAAGTTTGTTTCTCTTGACTGAATTAAGTAATCCTCTAAGATTCAAGAGCTGAAACAGAAGTAAAAACACCCAAAGTTTTCATACGGTGATATCTAATCTACTACTACTACTAATCTTATACTATAACCCAACACACTAATCCAATATACTAATGTCTCTTCACAGCTTAAAGAATAACCATGCCTTCTAGATGGCTCTTCTAAGTCATCCTGAGAAAAACCACTCTGACTAAATGAGAAAGTATTCTTTATCATCAGTCTATTCTACTAAGTTGACTTAAAAAAATTTCCTCTTGCAACCAGCTTAGATATAGATACATGTATCTTAATTTGCTATTTATTCTATTTGATTTTCCGGAAGCCTAAAAAGAAAAATAAAGCTATTTCAAGGCTATGTAGACAATATGAAGCTCAGGTCCTTCATATACACATAGTTTCTTACTGAGTCTACAAGACCTCTCCTCCAGAACAGTACTTAAGCCCTCCCTACACTTCTAAATGACTTGTATATCACTGCTTAATTTCTATTTTTTTATTGTCCAGTCAGAGTGGCTCAGTTGGTTGACAATCATCCTGTGCACTGAAAAGTTGCTGGTTCAATTCCCGGTCAGGGCACATGCCTGGGTTGCAGGTTTGATCCCCACTCGGGGAGTGTACAGAAAGCAACCAGTTGTCCTGGCCAGTTTCGCTCAGGGTTAGAGCGTCAGCCCTCGGACCAGAGAAAGCAACTAATCAATGTTTCTCCCTCACATTGATGTTTCTCTATCTCTATCTCTATCTCTATCTCTATCTCTATCTCTATCTCTATCTCTCTCTTCCCCTCCCCGCCTTCCTCTCTCTAAGCATGTCCTCAGGTGAGCATTAAAAAAATGTATTTTTTAATTCATTTTTTTTAAAGAGAGGGGGAAAGAGAGAAATATTGATGTGAGAGAGAAACACTGAAGTGAAAGAGAAACATTGATAGATTACTTCCTAAACGCACCCAACCGGGGATCGAGCCACAACCTGGGCATGTACCCTGACCAGGGATCAAACTGGTGATCTTTCAGTGCATAGGACAATGCTCAACCAACTGAGGCACACCAGCCAGGGCCACTGCTTACTTCTTTAACAAAGAAAGCCAACAGAGTTCAGAATTCTTGAGATTAAACTGCTAAAAATCTTATTATTAGAAACCAAAATGCCTCAAGTTTCTTCAAAGATGATCATTAGAATTCCAAAAAGTGATGACAAAAAAACCAGTGAAAATATTTAGTTCACATTCCTACGTGAGGAAGTTCAAGTCCCCAGGAAAAAGTACATTTTTTTTTTTTTTTTTATCCTCACCCGAGGACATTTCTCCATTTTTTTTTTTTTTTGTTCAGGTAGAGTGGGGGGGGAGAGAAGAACAGAGAGAGAGAGAGAAACATCGATGTGAAAGGAACACATCGAGTGGCTGCCACCCGCACAACCGACCAGGGCCGGGGACAAACTGCAACCGAGGTACGTGCCCTTAGCGGGAACCGAACCCGGGTCTCTCAGGACCGAAGGCCGACGCTCTAACCGCTGAGCCAAACCGGCCAGGGCAAAAGTACATTTTTTTAAATAGAAAATTTTTACAATAAGTGATGAAAGAAATACCTCTTAATTATTTTGCTGTCATTTTAACTGAATACCAAATTGTTTATCTGACAAAAGGGAGAGAAAACATGTAATTTCATACATCAGCTAATTCTTACAATTTCTATTATGGCCAGCAATATAACTCTGAACAATTTTTGAAAAGGACATACCAGTGCAAAATAAAAGGGATATAAAACAAATGACATTTGAATAGATTTCTAATTTCCTAATCCCTCATACAGTGACATTTTATGGCCATTGTGTTGAAATCTTTAGCTGCTGTATTTCCAAACTGTATTTCCTTTGAAAATACAGCAGCTGAAGATTTCAACACAATGGCCAAAAATATGGAAATGCCTAGTGCATTTGCAAAAGTACTAGTCTTGCCCAGTCTGTGTGGCTCAGTGGATTGAGCGTCATCCCATGGACTGAGAGATCCTGGTTCATTTCCGGGTCAGGGCACATGCCCAGGTTGTGGGCTCCATCCCCAGTAGGGGGTGTGTTTCTATATCTCTCCCCCTTCCTCTCTCTCTTAAACAGACAAAAAAAATCAATAAACACTTTTTTTTTAAGTACTAGTCTTCAAACTAAGAGATTCAGGATATAGTCTTAACTATCACTCATCAATCTTGAAAGTTCGAACAAGTCATTAATTCTTCCTCGGCTTCAGATTTCTCCTTCACAAAATAAGGGTCTCTATCTTTGCTACTCAAAGAGCCATCCATGGAACAGCAGCAAAAGCAGAGCCTGAGAATGTCTCAAGAGAGCCTGATCTTGGGCCTCACCTGAGACCTACAAAATCAGACTCTGCATTTTATTTATTTATTTATTTTAATTTATTTTTTAATCCTCACCCAAGGACATTTTTGGATATTTTGTTCAGATAGAGTGGGAGGGAGAGATAGAGAGAGAGAAACATCGATGTGAAAGGGACACATCGAATAGTTGCCACCCGCACAACCCAACCAGGGCCGGGGACAAACTGCAACTGAGGTACGTGCTCTTAGTGGGAACCGAACCCGGGTCTCTCGGGACCACAGGCAGACGCTCTAACCGCTGAGCCAAACCAGCCAGGGCAGACTCTGCATTTTAATTAAGACCCCCCAATAAATTCATAAGTATATTTAAGTTTGAGAAGCACTAGACTAGATGATCTATAATTCTATGTGAAGCTTTCTTCCAAGTTCAAATGTTTCAATCATTTTTCACTGTCCTTATAGCAAATTCCCTATTTATTAGTTATAGTAATCCCTTGCTAAGAAATTTATTATAGCCAGGCTGGTGTGGCTCAGTGGTTGAGCACTGACCCATGAACCAAGAGGTCTCCAGTTCAATTCCCAGTCACGGCACATGCCCAGGTTGTGAGCAAAATCCCCAATTGGGGGCATGCTGGAGGCAGCCATTCGATGTTCTCTCTCATTGATGTTTCTCTCCCTTCCTCTATCTAAAATCAATAAAGAAAAAAAAAATTTTTTAAGAAATTTATTACACTAAATAAACCTCAAGTAGTACTCATTATTAAACAGTTAACAGAAGAAGGGCCTATGGTTAATAATCTTTCTTTCACACCTGCAGTCAAGTTACAAGTCCCTTTTCCATATACTAAATTAAGGCCTCACTAGCAAATTAAGATATGAATACATGTGAACCTCTATGAATCAAGATGTCGCCACAACAAATTTTTTTTCCTCCCAGAAAAGGAAGCATATTTGTACACATAAAGAATTCCTAGCCCTGGCCGGTTTGGCTCAGCAGTTAGAGCGTCGGTCTGTGGTCTAGAGAGACCCAGGTTCAGTTCCCGCTAAGGGCGCGTACCTCAGTTGCAGTTTGTACCCGGTCCTGGTTGGTCGCGCAGGTGGCAGCCACTCGATGTGTCCCTTTCATATCAATGTTTCTCTCTCTTCCACTCTCTCCCTCCCACTCTATCTGAACAAAAAATGGAGAGAATATCCTCAGGTGAGGATAAAAAAAAAATTTTTTTTCATTAAGAATTCCTAGCCCAGCCAGTGTGGCTCAGTGGATTGAGCATCGTCCCATGGACTGAGAGGTCCCAGTTCGATTCCCCATCAGGGCACATGACCAGGTGGCAGGCTCGATCCTCAATAGGAGGCGTGCAGAGGCAGCCGGTCAATGTATCTCTCTCACATAGATGTTTCTATATCTCTCTCCTTTCCTCTGTCTCTAAAAAAGTCAATACAAATTATTTTTCTTAAAAAAGAATTCCTAAAGTAAGAACATTTTAAGGTGAAGTAGTAGAGATATTTATTAGAATAGAGACATAAGCTTACTCAAATTTACAACTGAGTGCTTACTGTGTAAGAAAGCCAACTGAATACTCTTGACTCAACTGCAAAAATGGTTGTCCCAAGTTCAAAATCACAATGAGCAGACAACTCCTAGAGCTGAGGGGTCTTTAACTGTTACATTACATATTTAGAGAAGACAGATATAATTTCAGGTGCTTATCAAGACGAAAAAGTTCTCTGACAGAATCTCTATTCCCAATCTTTAATTTTTAAAAATCTAAATATACTTATTCAAGGACTAAAACTGCCAAGAAGTAAAAGAACAATGCAGGAATCTTTAGTCCCAGAAAATTCAGTTCTAGAGAGAAAAAGGGACTTGGCTAAAAATTGAAAAAGATTAGTTGTTTTGCTTTTTTAAAAAAACTGTAGCTTGCTTGAATTTTCATACTAGTAAATCCAAAATACAACTCTTGAGGTACAAAGAACACTAACATTAATTCCAAATATAAATGATTCAAAGGATGTGACTATCGTTCTCAACAGCAGCTATATTTATCTCCTCCTATGTCTTGTATGTGTGGTTATAAAGGCTTTCTGAATTCAGCATTTACCAACATTTCAGTAGACCAAGAATCTATCATTCTAGAGTTGTACTGTCCAATACATTATTCACTAGTCATATGTGGCTCTTGACCATTTGAAATGTGGATAAATTGAGATATACTCCAAATGTAAAATGCATAATGGATTTAAAAATCTTAGTATGAAAAAAAGAATGTACACTATTTTTTATACTGATTACTTAATAAATATTTTGGACATATTAAATAAAATATATTATTAAAATTAATTTCACCTATTTTTTAAATTTGACTACTAGAAAACTTTAAATTACATATGTGGCTTACATTTATGACACACATTATATTTCTATTGAGCAACACTGTTGTAGACGATCACCAGAACACAGGCACATTTTTAAGGGAGCTTATCACAAACTTTTGTAAGACATTCAAATTCCAAAATCATGTTTTTAGGCTTCAGATATTAAAGCCTGATACAGTTATTTAACTTGATGACATACTAATAATGAAAAATGGTTATCTATAAAGTTCCAGCAATTTTGCAATGCATTCATCACAACACTGAAGTTAAAAACAAAATTTACGGCCTTCAATTTCTAGTCCATTAAGAGGTCATTGATCAGTTTTAGATGACAATTAGAAATTCAATCTTTTTTGTTGCAACTGCTTTTTCAAAGCAAAACATTGTTTTCTACAATCCCTATAACCTTCACATTTCTCTTCCATATTTGGGAAACTGACAGTTTCCTTTTCATCTGAATTCTTCCTCCAGCCAAGCAATCATACAACCTAGGTCTAAGAGTGCCCCTTCCTTTACCATGTCCCACCCTCATTCCCTTCTTCAAATATAAACCCAACTAATGCCAGATATCCTTCACATGGCCCCAAAAGGATCATATTTTCAACCTTGCTATTTTTAAGTAAGATGAAGAGAAACACAAATGGGAGTGTTAATGAAGACTAACAAAAAATGTTTGAGTATTTTGGTAGTTACATGTAAAACCACACGTGAAAACAATCCTAAACCTGGGCATTTTTATTTCATTTCAAAATACTTTACCCCTATAAATAAGCTTTTAAAAAAGCATATCTTTGAGCAAGACACTGTGACACATGAAAAGTATACGAACTTCAAATTTCAGTTACCCATAAATAAAGTTTTATTGGAACACAACTATGTTTATTCATTTATATACTTGCTATGGCTGCTTTGATGCTTACAAGGGCAGAGTTGAGTAGTTGCAACAGAAACGGTATAATTATTTACTATGTGGCCTTTCATATAAAAAGTTTGCCAACCCAATATAGAGAATAATTATCATAATCTATTATTGGCTGGGAGGGGTGTTGCCTTGGGTAGAAAGAAAATGGGGAAGACCCTTCCCCTATCCCTACCCTGACACGAACCAGATTAGCTTTTTGACCTAATTAATATATAGTGGGCTCCTGTATAAGATTCTTTAAAAAGAGATTATAAGGATACATTTAAAAATATGAAAATCAAGAACTTAGTACATGATTCAGTATATACACCAAAACTTATAGTGAACTACGTTACCAAAGAGGTTATAAATGGGACTTCCAGGCTGGTTATGCTATAGATCTTCACTCCTTTATCAGGAGGATCATTCAAGGCCCTTTCAACTATCTGATTCTAAGATGAGTCATCTCTCAAAGATGAAAATATATACTTAAAGACTTTCCTTCTACCATTCAGACGCTATCATATTTTAATAAATAATCTATAGAATATAATTAAAACTTCCTTACGAAGAAAATTAAACCTATGACGTACTAAAAAATGTAGAGCATTCCAAGGCAGCCAATTATCCAGAATATATTAATTATTGGTTATCTTGTCTGGGATTCTTTTTGAGGTAGGAGGGAGGCTATTAAATAAGCACCATGTTACTTTACATTGTTCATTTATATACACATGATGGCAGGCTACTCTCTGACAATGAAGAGACATACAATATACTTTTTTTACCTTAGTAAATTGACTTTGGCTACCAATAAAATGGCTTTTAATGTTCAAATCTTATAAAAGTTTATCAATTATGTTTAGATTCTAGTTTTGCCATAATATCAAAGCAATGTACACTAAACATAGAAAAGTACAAGTCAAATTCCGGGCTCACTTGAAGAAATAATGCTGTACATAACTGGCTGTGTTTCTCAGGTCACCACAGGGGGCACTCAGCTCAGTTCCAAAACAGCAAGAGTGAACCGGTACTGATATATTATTATTAAGTGTCAGTTAACAGGCCATTGACAATTTAAATTCCCAAGGAACAAAAATTATCTTTTAAACCTGTGTATTTTACATACAAATTTGTTATTTGCAAACCTCATGTGAGGATAATAAATGACAATTACTTTTTCATTCTTGTTTTTAGGTTCAAAGTGCTAAATTTATAGATAAATTTAAAAGCAATTTTAAAACCAGCTTTCATAACATATGCCTTAGTAAATACCAAGCCTGATAATACTAGCACTGGAGATAGAAAAGTTGAATTAAAAAGTCATTCCTTTCCCACAGTTTAATCTGGACAGGTATGTGATTTTGCACTTATTATTTCAATATTTATTTACTTAAGAAGGACAAAACAGTTTGGTTACATTAAATCTTTCTCTCTTTGCCAACCCCACCTTTTACTCTGCTATTGCTTCCTAGTATTTTCCCTTCCCATGGGGATTCAAGATTAAGGAAAAACCTTTCTGCCCTCCAATCTATAATTAACTTACCTTTAATTTTTTTACAAACAAAACACTTGGATTTCCCAGAGTCATCTTTTAAAGTTTAGATTCTAAAGCTCTGGTAGGAAAAACAGTTAAGTGGTTTAACCACCAACATAGTGGAGGACTTTCCTCTACTGGTGTTTAATACACACCAGATAAATTAACTGCTAACATAATGACCTATTCTGAGGTCATTTATATGACATCTTAAGACTGAAAATAAATTTTGAATTTCTGCCTCCTCTACAACATAATCTTAAAGCCTCTTAACTACATCAGATGCTGGCATTAAACCAGATAAGTAGCAACCAACAACAACAAAAAAGAAAGGAGAAAAGAAATGTAGACATCTATATCTAAAAACTTACCTTGATCCTGTCATAGGACCTCTTCCATCCTTGTCATATCCCCCACGCCCTCTACCTCCTCCCTGTGACCCGCCATATCCTCTATTATCTTCTCCATACCTACTCACATCACGACGGTCATCTATGAAAAAGAAAATAACATATACATAAATAAATAACCATTGTGATTTCTGACACAGACTTCCCATAACAATTTTATATCACTCTTTAGGTCACACATTATGTCCTTTGGAAAATGACCCATGTGCACAGAACTCAAATGCAAGCCATCATAAAACCATCTGAAATTAAATGTGTTTGGGAATTATATCTGTATCAAATTCTACTTTGCTAAAGTCAGACAACAAAGTGGTAATGGTGATATATAATAGCTTGAGTTAAAGTACAGAACCCTAATAAATTAGATGAAAAACATAACTCAAATCTGAAAAGTTATTACTTTCTTCACTTCGAATATAACCACTGGCCGGTGTGGTGCGGCTAAATGGTCAGAGTGTCAGCCTGAGCAGTGAAGGGTCGAGGGTTCAATTCCCAGTCAAGGACACATACCTGGGTTGCAGGTTCAATCTCTGGCCCCAGTTGGGGTGCGTGTGGGAGGCAACCAATGGATATATCTCTTTCACATTGATATTTCTTTCTCCCCACTCCCCCTACTCCCTCGCTCCCAATATATAAGTAATTCTGTGACAAAAAAAATAAGGTATCAGTATAGCTTACCTTGTGTGTGGCTGTAATTTTCCCTTTGTGAATGGTAGGACTGCTGGTTTTGATTATAGGAATCATGCTGCTGATCATAATTTGACTGTCCATCATATGAACTTTGATGATGATCATAGCCTGACTGCTGGTCATATGAATCTTGTTGACCATAGTTTGACTGATCATATGAAGGCGCTCTTCCACCTTGGCTAAATAGAAATCAAGAACGTGAGAGATTTTATAGGATCACGTATAGTCACTGTAGCAAGCTGACTGACACTGATATAAAAGGCCAACTAGACCTCAACTATTTCTACAATTCTGGTTGGAAATCATTTAGTTCTTTTATCTACAAAGGTGCCACATTATGAGAAAAACCACATACACCTCTGAAAACAGTGGAGCAAAAAAATCACTATGATTTTTACATCTCCTTAAATTAAAAAATTAAAGGTGCCACAAAGTACAGCAATATGTCGATTCTTAAATAAACATGCCACAAGTACTAAGTCCTTTTATTGTTTTTTTTTTCTTTTAATTGATTTGAGAGAAAGAGGGGAGAGAAAGAGAGACATAGAAACATCAATGAGCCCTGGCCAGTTTGGCTCAGCGGTTAGAGCGTCGGCCTGCGGTCCGGAGACCCGGGTTCGATTCCCGCAAAGGGCACGTACTTCGGTTGCAGTTTGTCCCCGGCCCTGGTTGATCGTGCGGGTGGCAGCCACTCGATGTGTCCCTTCACGTCGATGTTTCTCTCTCTCTCTCCTTCCTCTCTCTCCCTCCCACTCTATCTGTACAAAATATGGAAAAATATCCTCTGGTGAGGATAAAAAAAAAAAAGAAAAAAAGAAACATCAATGAGAAAGAACATCAACTGGCAGCCTCCCGCATGCCCCCGACTGGGGATTTGGCCCACAACCTGGGCATGCACCCTGACCAGGAATCAAACCAGCGACTTCTTGGTGCATGGGTTGACATTCAACCACTGAGCCATTATCAGCTGAGCAGTAGTTAAGTCCTTTAAAGAGTTACATTGAAAAGCTCTATATCACTTAATTTTAAAATTATCTCATAATATTTTAGGGACTATTTTTATAGTTATATTTGGAACCTACATACATTCTTCTTATTAATTTTTTTTTAAATTGTATTTACTTAGAAACATTCAGAATATCAACAAAACAGCTGCAACTTTTTTTTTGCAATTAGAGTGGTATTCAGTTAAACACAATTATTTTGTATAGCTGCATCACAGACAACTGAATGTAACTAATCCCCGTGTATAACTAACTTGTGCTGTGCACCAACAAGAACCTGCTTTATTTTTCCATGCCAATATACAACTCCCATATTGTACCAGGCAAGGTTAGTGGCTACTGAAATACCACCAGGACAGGGCTATCTAAAGAAACATTCCATAGTGTGTTAACTATACAAAAAAAGACACTGTACAGCTTAAAAAAAAATCTTACACAGCTTACATTTCAATTTTTTTCTTTATTTTATTTTTTTTAAAACAGGTTTTTTATTTATTTATTTGTTTTTTTATCCTCACCCGAGGACATTTTTCCATTTTTTGTTCAGATAGAGTGGGAGGGGGAGAGATTGAGAGAGAGAGAGAGAAACATCGATGTGAAAGGGACACATCGAGTGGCCACCACCCACATGACCCAACCAGGGCCAGGGACAAACTGCAACCGAGGTACATGCCCTTAGCTGAAACCAAACCCGGGTCTCTCCAGACCGCAGGCCAACGCTCTAACTGCTGAGCCAAACCGGCCAGGCCAATTTTTTTCTTTAAATGGAATTAGCTGTATACAGAGAGGGGTTAAATGTTTTATAAACCAAAAAAAACCTGCACGAAAACCAACTTATTCACCATCACCTTCTTCATCTTTCAGTACATTCTTTTAAATATCTTAAAATTACAATAAATTTTAGAAAACAGTATTCATTAGACTTTTAGTCTGCTGAGGGAAAAAAGGGAATTTCCTTTGTGATGCTATCTTTTAATCTAAAAAGAAGTCTGACTACCAGATAATAGCACTGCTTTATCATCTCTGGAAATTCAAAAAGAAAATTCTCAGTATGTTCTGAGCAATATGACTATTAATTAATTACCTGCTTTCAAGATGGGAATGTTGAAAGGAACACTTACTTGGATTTGAGTTCTAATGTTCACTTTTTAAAAAGGTCTCATAACTTAATAGTCACATCTTCTTCTGCATGAGATGATTAGAACAATCAGTGTGTTTCCCAACTTCCTACCCAAAGCATATCATATCAAAGGTCAGAACCCTAGCACTTCACTTTAAAATGATCTGGGTTCACCCTGACCGGTTTGACTCAGTGGTTAGAGCATTGGCCCATGGACCAAATAGTTGAGGGTTCGAATCCCATCAAGTTGCAGTTTGTCCCCAGCCCTGGTCAGGGTCGCATGGGAGGCAACCAGTCGATGTGTCCTCTCACGTCGTCGTTTCTCTCTCTCTCTTCCTCCCACTCTACCTGAACAACTACAACAACAAAAAAAAAGACGAAAAATATCCTTCGGTGAGGATAAAAATAAATAAATAAATAAAAATAAAGGAGAGACCCAATTTTTCTTTCATGTGTATTCATTTACAGCCAAGAAATAATTTTACAAATAATACATCATAAGTATCAAATGACAATGCTAACAATTTCCACATTCTTCATAACACAAAACTGTGAAATTCATACTCCATCAAAACATTTCTGAAAAAAAATGTTTAGTTAGAAATCTGTTGGTGAAACCTGTTTAATATACAAAGTGTCATTTCCACTGCCCAAAACAATCTGAGTATTTTTACTGTTTCCTTACCCTCCTGATGATTCCGTGTTTTGCTGTCCCTGGTTATTGTAAGACTGCTGACCGTATGAGCTCTGTTTTTGATTCTCATAACCACCATAGGATTGTGAATAACCTGAAGATTAAATAGATATAGCACTTAGTAAAGGTTCTGATATTTTTAATTTGTAAAGTAGCAAATTTAACAAATCAGCCCAACCTGATTGGCTTTGTCCATAATTGGAGTAGCCGCCATAGTTCTGTCCATATGAGGAATCAGTAGGTTGCCCATAGCCAGAATAGCTCTGAAATTTAGGTAAATATAAGTTTCATCATCTACTTAAGATAAAAATAACTATGTATGAAGAACACAATTTATATTTTAACCTACTTGTTGTGCTTGTCCATAACCTTGATTGCCTTGATTTCCATAAGAATAACTGTAAAAAAAAAGAAAAGAAATTTGCTAGCATTTAAGTTTAAAGAACCCTATCTTTATCTTCAACTTTCAACTCAAATACAAGCTACTTTACTGAGAAACTGTCAATCTGCCTGTCTCTTGAGTCTAAATTGAAAGGTGAGGACCAAACACTCCTAACGACATAAATAAAGTCATTCCCAGACCTTTTAAATGCCAAACACCAAAAGTTTTGCTTTGACAGTCTCCCCAAAATAAGACAAACTTCAACCAGAGTTAGAAAATCCCAAAAGAAGTATGCTTGGGAGGTCGGGAGAAAGGGATAATAAGGCAGCAAGACCTGTAACAAATATCTGACACAGAAAAATAATGACTGTCAGTTAGGGCTTTAATCAAGTTAGCTATGGTCTGACAGATTAATTTCTTCCTATCATTTGCCTTAAACCTGCCTTTAACTTCCTAGAAAAGGCACAGGGTGGCACTAAAGGTTTAATTTTTGTGCTTTTGTAATTAGAGATATGTATATCTTCAGAGTATTATCATAAAAAAGTTATTTTGTATCCCCAGAGTCAAAACATAGCCTGGCATATAGTTTGACTGAATAAACGTAACTTCAGATTTGACGTGCCTTTAGTTTTAAGTCACATAAGCGCTAACAAATCAGAAACAAACTTTCTTAATATATGCCAAAGAAAGAAACATTTGCCAAAAAATCTTATCATTTTAGAGCTATCAAGTGCTAACAGAATTTAAATATACAAAATCTATTTAATTGAATAAACATTTGCTAGTTGTCTACTATGAGATTAGCACTATCCTATGAGAATGAAAAAATTAAGTCCATTTTCATGAACTGTTATCTGAGATGCTATTCTGAATATCTCACACTGAACTACAAAGCATTTACAGTATAAGTTGAAGGCTGTATTTCTGGTAAACATTCACATAAAAATAGACTTTTCTTTTTATTGTGAGCATAAGAAGTCTTTTATAAATGCTAAACATTTATATTATAGTGCTTCTAGAAAATCTGTCCCAAAAAACATATTAGCATATTACAACACAATAAAAAAAAAATGAAATGCTTTTTCTAAGAACCTATTATAGTTCAATTGCTTAAATCCTTTTCTTTTTTTATTCATTTTTTTATTGATTAATTTTTGTTACAGATGATTCTCCTTTTTTCCCCCACTGATTCCCCCCTCCCCCTCCCCTCCCTGCCCCTTCCCCAGATTGTTGTCCATGTCCACTGTTAATGCATACATGCGTATAAGTTCTGTGGTTCATCCCTCCCCCACCTCCCCCCTCCTTAGGGGATTGTCAGTCTGTACCCCGCTTCCGCGTCTCTGGGACTACCCCATTCCTCAAACTGTTATGATCATAAAAATATGGAACGCTTCACGAATTTGCGTGTCATCCTTGCGCAGGGGCCATGCTAATCTCTGTATCATTCCAATTTTAGTATATGTGCTGCCGAAGCGAGCACGCTTAAATCCTTGTTTCTTTTAAAAATTTTCCAAAGAAAACAATCTTTATGATACTTATGAGATTGGTTTTAATCTCTAGGAAGCATCTATATTTACTGATTCAAACAGCCTTTTAAAAAAGGAAGAAATGTTTTACAACATTTATTTACATAGGCTGACTCTTTCCCCTTGCTAAGCTAATGTTTAACTTTCTTAAGACATCTAGATATCAAATCTCAAGTGGGAAAACCTAAATTCAACCTTTATCCTCAGTTCTATTCTTTTATGGTATTATTAAAATGTGTGTATACTTTACCTTTGCTGCTCACCCCCAGACTGACCGTAACTTCCAGAATCTAAAACACATAAAAAGAATTTTAAATCTGATTTAAAATTATGCTTCCCTGAAAGACTGGCTTTAGGTCTTACAGATGAAATGTGTTAAGAAAATGTCATAAAGTAACTACAGAAAAGAAAAACTAGAATTTAAAAATAATGTGCAAGGAGAAATCTGTACAAATAGTATTTACTGTTTACAGTAACTATATCTTTGAAAACAACAACTATACAAAACATGTCCTAGTGGTCACAAGAATCAAGTGAACAAATACAAAATAATCAGTGAAAAATCCATCCTTTTAACAAAACTCAAAAGCTCAAGTTATATTACCTTTATATGCAAAAAGACATGTTAAAACTAACCAAGAACAAAAACAGGGAAGACACTGACAAGACAAATCCCAGGATGACATTTATTTCCATATCCTCCCCAGCCCAACATCTATACCATTCCCTTGTACTGGATAGCTTTGGCTGTCCGCAGCAACAAAAACATCTGTGAAGACTTGGTAAAAGCAGCTGTTAGTTGTTTACAACTTTACCAAGCTTTCACGGTCTTAGCCAATTGATATACCAACTCAGCAATCCCTCTGAGCATCCTTTTTGGCAGTAAAATCTACCAAGGCAGGCATAAATTGAGTAACATATGCCAAAAACAGGGGGAAAAAGTGTATTCTTCACACTTCAAAATGTATGTTTTATCAAAAACTTCAGAATAGGCTCTATCCTTTAGGCTTCTACTCAGAGTCAAATGAATGACCTAAGTTTATTAGTGATGAATAAGACTAATGTATCACAATGTCTAACTGCTATGCTGTACACTGGAAACCAATACAAAAGAATGTTGAATGTAAACTGTAACTAAAAAAATTTTTTTTTTGCCCGGCCAGTGTGGTTCAGTAGATTGAGCATCATCCCATGCACTGAGAGATTCCCCGTTGGATTTCCAGTCAGGGCACATGCCCAGGATTGTGGGCTCCATCCCCAGTAGGGGGCGTGCAGCACCCAATTGATGTTTCTCACACTGATGTTTCTCTCTCCCTTACTTTCTCTCTAAAAATAAAAATATAATTTAAAAAATAGTAATAATTTTTTTAAAGAGTAATATTATATGAAACACTTTCAAATGCAAAAAATGATTCAGAGTCAAACTGCTGACCACTAGGCCCAGCCTCATCCAATCTGAAACAGAACCATGTTGGACAGTTCTGAAAACCAACCAAAAATCAAATCAAATCAGTGACTTTTTTTTATCTTCACCTAAGGATATTTTTCCATTAATAATTTTAGATAGACTGGAAGGGAGGGAAAGAGAGAGAGAGACAGAGGCAAACATCAATGTGAGACACATGGACTGTTTGCCTCCCACATCACCTCGACAGGGACCGGGGATCAAACCTACAATCCAGGTACATGCCCTTGTCCAGGAATCAAACCCAAGACCCTTCAGTCCGAGGGCAGATGCTCTAACAGCTAAGCCAAACTGACAAGGTAGTGACTTTTGTTTTTTTTTTTGGTACGTGCCCCTAGCGGGAACTGAACCTGGAACTCTCTGGTCCGCAAGCCTACGCTCCAACCACTGAGCCAAACCAGCCAGGGTAAGGCAGTGACTTTTTCATTCAACTCATATAAAGCTACAATATGAAAACATTACTGTTCAAGTGGATGACATCAAATTTGGCACTTTTCTGCAATAGAGATCTCCAATCAGACTAAACAAAATTTATTTTAAATCCTTACTTTTAAGAATATTGAATGCAGTCCTGACATGAACTACTTCTATGAATGTGAAAAACATAAGGCTGAAATAAAAAAGAAAAAACTATCACTGCTATGCCCATAATAGTAAAATGACTATAGATTTATAGCTAACCAATAAGAAAAACATGAAAAGGATCTAGAACCTAACTAGACCATAGAGATTAGATGCATCTATCAAATGAGAGAAAAAGTTACCTAACCAAATCAGAAACTGAAAATAACTATTGGGGGGGGGGGGGCGGCAGGAGCCAGGTGTAATGTGAGTAAAACATAAGATACTCCAGAGATACATGAAACTAGGTTAAACTATATCGAAAGGCATGAATGTGGATTCTCCAAGATCTCAGTACATAAACCTTCGGCTCAGGCAAAATTATTGAAGTGCACAACACATAGGTCATGTGTCCCTGGCTCAAATCTAGTATTAAGTCCTTAACTATAATCCATTCACTTCAGCCCTCTGAAATTATCTGATTTCTTTAGCTAGCTGACTTTAAAAGTACAGAAGGGATAGAAATAAGCACATTGACCAATAAGTCTGACCCCTAGTATAAATACTTGAGTGAAAAAAGTAGATGTTTTATATTCATCAGAGAAAAAAATTTATAAATATTATTTAGGGCATTTCAGACAACTGCTCATTATGAGTTCTTGACACTTGAGCCTTGTGTCTGGACCCATGAATTACTTAGAAGTACTTTTATTTCCAAGTGTATAGGGTTCATTCTTTTTCTTCTAATTGTATTCCACTGCAGCCAGAAAAGGTATTTCCTGTATTATTCCTAGTATTTGTTTGGACTTGCTGTTTTTTTGCTGTTTCCCCTTGGTAAATATTTAACTTGCATAAATGTCCCCTATGTGCTTGAGAAGAACTGTGTATTACTGTTAAATGAATTTCCTAAGTCTATATAATGATACTTCTTGATTTTAAAAATATCAATCTTGTAAAAATTATCAACCATTTATTAATTCTTCCATTTTCTCTTCAAACTCATATTGGATGTGACAGGACTTCTCAATCCACTTGTCATATTTCTTAATCTTTCATTTTTCATCTCTATATCCTTCTGAATTGAATTCTGGGTAAATTATATCCCATCTATCTTCCACTTTACTAATTATTTATTCTGCTAGGTCTGCCTACAATTCAATTTATCCTTTTTTTTTCCATTTCTATAAGTTGTACTTGGTTCTTTTCAAATCTATATGTGGCTTTTCATAACATCCTGGTCTTAGGGTTGATCCCTTTAGGTTTTTAATAATTTTAAACATACTATTAACTTTCAGATTATTATCAGGGGTTCTAATCCCATCTGTCACTAATTCTTATTTCGGTGTATTGTTTGCTAGAGTTCTGCAATTTTTTTACTGTGAAGTCATCTTTTCTAAGACATGTTTTGTTTTGTTTTTCCTTAAGATTCCTTGTGACCTAGGGTGTAAAATTTCCTCCAGGAAAAGGTTTTCCATTTGTTTCTACCAGCAACTCCAAGGTTATTACCAACCCAGAACAAGATTTTTTCTAGATTTCTTGGTTTAAGGTTCTCGGTCCCCATACCTAGTTAAATATACACCCAAACTGCATGAAGCACAGGTTCCTTTACGAATTCTCAGAACTTTTTCATTCAGGGTCCAGGCCTCCTGGTTATCTCTTATGCTGCTAGGCACAAAAGTATTTTCTAGTTCATTCTTTCACCAAAGGTATAGTCCTTCAAACATCCAAATCTTATGTAAGAGTCTTAGGTGCCACCTGGCCGGTGTGGCTCACTGGTTGAGCATCGACCCATGCACCAAGAGGCCACCAGTTCAATTCTTGGTCGGGGCACGCGCCCAGGTTGTGGGCCCGATTCCCAGTGGGAGGCATGCAGGAGGCAGCCAATCGATGTCCTCTCTCATCTATGTTTCTGTCTCTCTCCCTCTCCCTTCTGTTCTCTCTAAAAATCAATGAAGAAAAAAAAGTCTTAGGTGCAATTGCCTGGCTGTAATGGTCTCAAGGACTCATCTCCTGTCCTTGTTTTTTGTTAGTTGAATAAAATCCAGTTTCTAAATGACGAGACCAATACCACCCTCCTCTCCAGGGCAACCAAGTTAGCTCTACACCTACCATAATAGCTTTAACTTCATTTCTGGTAGCTGGGGTGTGTCCCCTACCCATCCGCCCCACTTACTTTTGGTCAGTTCTTACATTTTTAGGTGTTTTTAGATAGAGGATTTTCCAAGTTATCTTGCTCTGTCATATTGCCAAAATAAGAAGTATCTTGACTTTGTAATTTTATATGTATAATTAATATTAGATTTATAATTTTAACTTGAAAGGTGTAAAATAATTCACATTTATATACAGTATTTGAACGTCTGAGAGTCTGACAATATTTATCATTTTGATTTGATTATGTAAGTGCTTATATTTTATTAGATTTTATAAGTCTGCCCTGTCAGGCATCTGATGTGGTTGAGTCAACCTGATAGATTAAACTTATACATGTAGTTTTGAATGTTTAAAGGACTTAAATAAACCTAATGCCATTAGTTGTTTAGTGGGAGTTAACTGTTAAATTTATTAACATTCTGTCGAAGAACAAGTCAGAAGCATTACCCCTATTTTTATACAGTGAAAGGTATTATTTTATACAAGTTACAAATGTACTTTTATATGTGACACTAAGTATAACTTAAAGATTCTAGCTTCAATTAATTTAGACTTGAGCAATTTTTAAATCATTCTTTTCATATGTGAAAGCCAATCTTGATATTAAGAAATTTAAATTACAAAGTGACAAATACCTGGTGTCTTGGTAATTTGAAATAGTACTAATGTAAACCAGTTCACACACTTCACACACTGAAAACCTTGGATTTTACAAATGGTAAACCCCTAAATTTTAATTTTCCAAAAAAGCTACTTACTCCTATAAAATTAAGCCATCATTTTATACCAGTAATTATACTGACAATCAAGACAGGCCAAGTTTTTAATAAGCACTGTATCCACTGAACGCTGATAAATTTCTCCACGATGATTGGAAAGTATCTTTTTTTAACCATGGATGGGTTGCACACCCTCCTGAGGGTATAGTTCTATGTACTTCTGTGGAGCTTTACCAGACTTCATCTCAAATTATGAACCTGGTAAAAGATGTACCAATGTTGCTCTGGCCAGTTTTGCTCAGTGGTTAGAGTCAGTCCACAGACCAATGAGTCATGGGTTTGACTCCAGTCAAGGGATCATGTACCTCGGTTACAGTTCGTCCCTGGTCAGGGTCACGGGGAAGGCAGCCAGTAGATGTGTGTCTCTCTCCCATCGATGTTTCTCTCACTCTCCCTCTCCCTCCCTCCCTCCCTCCCACTCTATCTGAAGATAAATAGAAAAATATCCTTGGGTGAGAATTAAAAAAACAAAAACAAAAAAATGTACCAATGTCTACTTTATAGTAAGAAATTATTTCTTGTTTGAGCAAGGATTACATAGAAACTGAAATAAGAGCTCAAAGAGGCTCCCTCCCCCAAATGATAGTCTGGCTTCCTAACATCAATGTTAGTCTAAGGAATGTTTATCATTCTCCTGTCCAACCATTCTCATTAATTTCTTTCTTGGCCTACTACTTCCTTTTTGTCACATTTCCATCATTCTACAAGACTGGATTAAAGGGGGTGGGGTGGAGCTGTTTTAAATACCAACAGGTTCTCCCTTAAAAAAATGTAAAAGGCCCTGGCTGGTTTGGCTCAGCGGCTGGAGCATGGGCCTGCGGACCAGAGTCCCGAGATAGGTTCCGCTGGGGGCATGTACCAAAAAAAAAAATAATGTAAAAGACTTATCACCAGTCATTTTCATCCCAGCTACATGGCTTTAAGGAAATGTTCTGCTTTTGCACCTGAAAAGTGGTATCCAACTCTCATGATGGTTTCTAGCAAGTGGACAGCTGGGTCTTTGCAGCCTGTGATGCACCCAATGACAGAGGACCTTGTGCGGTCGGCTAGGACTGCTACATCAAGAGAACGCCCATATTCCAGACTTTATGTTCTGGGTTAGCAGGATCTAAACTGGCTGTCCTGAAGAGACCAAGTCCTCTTTTTCTCTTCCACACAACGCCGGTGCGAAGGGGGGGCCTTCTATCAATTTAAGTGCTTCGTGAATGACTACCTTTCTTTGGGCTATGTTTGCCTGTCGGTAATAGTAAAGGCTCACTTTCAAGCTCTTGTTGGAGATTTGAACGGAAAAAAGAGCAACGGGAAAGTAATGACACGGGTGAAAAGGAAGCTGAATTTTATACAAACACCCTCAATTGGAATTCGGCTCGTTACGACAGAGGAACGACGGTAAGCAGGATGTCGTGGAATGCAACGTCCTTTGAAAGGGCTCCCAGGACGTCAAGGCCCCCACCTGATGAATGAGGGAGTCAGAAGGCCCAGCTCCACTTCACGGTTGGGTAAACTGAGGTGCGAGGCGGAGAGACGACTGGCCCGAGGCCTCGCTGAAACATCTGAGGCGGAGCGGAGAACCAGAAGCACCGATTCCCAGGCTGATGCTTTAATCACAGGCTCCCCCCGCCCCTGTGATGGCGTAGACGGCCTCCGCCCCCCGACTCACACACCCTCCCCGGGAACGGCACGTCGCCTCAGGTTCCAAGGACGGAGCCAAAAGACAGGGGCCCGAAGCGCTCCTGCCGTGATTTGCAGACGGAGAGCGTTGGGAGCGTGCGTCCCTCCAGTCCAACATGGCGGCGGCCGCGTCCGCGCCCCCACCCCCAGCCTCCCTCAGGGCCGGAGGCTTTTGCTCGGAGCCCTCCGGTGGGCGGGAAGATGGCCCAACCCCGTAAGGCCCCTTCTCGCCGCTGCCGCTGCTCGCTGAAGGAATCACCTACCCGACATGACTAACGGCCGCGGCGCGGAGCCCCCACAGCCCGCCGAGAACAAGGAATACCAAAGCCAGGCGGCAAGGCGGCCGAAGGTGTACTGAGGGCGGAGCAGCGGGCGAGCCCGACTGCGGGGTCTCGGCAGCCAATCAGAGTACAGTGGACGGTACCATAGCCTTACGGCAGGAGGGGTGACTCTGTACTAGTACCAGCCTCCGAATTCTGAGGACTTCGGAATCCCTGTTTGTTCTCCCCTCCGTGAACCGTACCATTATTGAGAGGGAATTGAGTAGAGAAAGTACCATTGCCGCGATCAGGGTGGGGGGAGGAAGCTGAACCTGTTCGCTCTGTCCTGATCTCAGTCCTATGTTCTATTTTACTGGGTCTGAAAGAATTTGAGGTTAGGAAGCGAAAAAGGAGAGACCTTGTAAACACAGACTGTTTGGTTAGAAAATGCCTTTCTTCCCCTACAATTTCGAATGGTATGGCCTCGTTCGCTTTGCTTGGAGTGCAGACAGCTTGAACCGCCGGGGGGCGTTCGGGGTCGACGAGCTCGGCGACGGAAAGTCGTGACGAGCTCAGGTACCTCCCGGATCGTCAGGACTAGCTTGTCAAGTAAAAAAAAAAAAAAAAAAAATAGACTACAGGGTAACGCTGGAACAAACGTGTGCATTAAAACGAAATCACACGCGGACGGGACTCGGAGGGGGCGGGATGGGGTGCCGAGTTTTCGTTGTCAATGTTATCATCATCCCCAACTCTTAATTGTCAGGCACCTGGCATTCTCTCACTTCATTCTCACGAGAAGCTGAGGGACTGCCGTCCTCCTGGCGCAGAGGATAAGGCGGGGTTCACCGACTCCAGGTCCCACAGCCGGTACATGGCCAACGTGGAATCTGAATCCTGGGAACCAGAGACCTTAAGGCCGCTGGAACGCTGGAGTGCGGACAGCGCGCAACGCCCCGGGCGCACACGGACATTTCCCAGGGGGGCGAGGGGCGAGGGGGCAAGCGGGGGTGGCGCGCAGAGGGGCCCAGCGCGGGGCAGTGCTTCGGTCTAGTTGCAAAACGAGTGATTCAGTATGTTCGGAGTTGCCCCGTGAGGGGAGAAGGGGAGGCGGGGAGGCCAGGAAAGTAACTGTGACCTTGTCAAGTACCAGAGGGTCTGTGCTTCACCTTGAAGGCGGTGGGAACCCTTCAGTGGGGAATTTTGAAAGAAGATCCAAATGTTCATTTGGGGGCTGCACTATGAAAAAAATGCATAAAGATGAAAGGTGCCTAAAAACAGGAAGGCCGGTTAGGTAGCCAGTGCAATCATTCTGGGGGGGGATTATAGTGGCCTGGGCTTGGGTTGCAGCTGTGCAGATGGAGGTAAGTGAAGAGATATTTAGGCAGTAGACTGGGAAAGACCTGGTGACCGAGGTGGATGGGAGAGTCTAGGAGAGAGAGAAGCCTGGGGTGAATTCTGTTTCCCACGTAGACAAGTGTACAATGGTGGTGTCATTCACTGTGCTGGGGAACGGGAGGAGGAGGAACAGGTTTCGCTGGGAACAGTACCTTCAGGGTTAATATCTTCAGGTCAGAAAAAGGGTATGAGGTCATCTCTCTTCATTACACCAGCAGTCACTGCGCCTTCAACTCCGGCTGTAGAAGGTCACAGAGCTCTCTAGACAGGTTCAAACAAGCACGGCTTAAGGAATAAAAAGCCTTGAATGACTAAAAACAACTTAACTGTTCAGCTTACCTGTTGAGGAAGGCAACCCAGAAGAGGACAGGGGCATGTGCAATAAGTAGCATGAGGGAACTGGGTTTGGAGGGAGGAGAGACTTCCAGGTTATTCTTCTTAAGTTTTTTAGAATTGAGTTTGGTTTGGGGGTGGTTTTTTTTTAATCCTCACCGGAGGATATTTTTCCATTTATCTTCAGACAGAGTAGGAGGGAGGGAGAGAGAGAGACCCAGAGAAACATCAATGTGAGACACATCGACTGGCTGCCTCCCACACGACCCCAACCAGGGCCAAGGAGGAACCACAACCGAGGTGCGTGCCCTTGGCCAGAATTGAATCCCAGTCTCATTGGTTCTCGGGCTGACACTCTAACCACTGGGCCAAACTGGCCAGGGTGAGTTTTTTTTTTGTTTGTTTGTTTTTCTTTTTTAAGGATGGGAATACAGAAAGTATTGCTCATCATCAACTCCTTAAGTTTGTACCACCATACATCAATATATTTATTCATTCATGCGTGTATACATTCTTCACTCAGCTGCCATCTCCTGATGTCTACTAAGTGTCAGGTCCTAGAAAGCCCTGAAGATAGAAAAATAGAAAACACCATGGTCCCTGCTCTTCAAGAACTACAATCTCATAACAGGGACAATATAAACCTGTAATACCAATCAACTACTACATGCTCGAATTGGAGGATAAAAAGGGTGCTATGAAAACACAGAGGAAGAGCAGCTAGCTACTTTAAGGGTGGAGGGGAGGGGAAGGGGCAAGGGGGTTTTAAGGAAGGCTTCCTGCAGGAGGTAACCTCCTAAACTGAGCTTTGGAGAGCAGGAGTTCACCAGGGGGTGTATATCAGGAACAGCATGCTCCAAATGGAAAGGGCTGTATTTGCAAAGACTAAGAGAGCAAGTTCTGGGAATTGCAATTGGATTAGTCTGGCTAGTCTGTAGAGTTGCAGGGGTGGGGAGTGATGATAAATGAAGTGAAAGAAGTAGGCAGAAGCTGCAGCTTAAAGAGCCTTATGCGGCTTGCAGAGGAGTTTGGATATTAAATTTAAAACAATGGGGAACTGCCCTGGCCGGTTTGGCTCAGCAGTTAGAGCATCAGCCTGCGGTCTGGAGAGACTAGGGTTCGGTTCCTGCTAAGGGCCCGTACCTCGTACCTCGGTTGCAGTTTATCCCTGGCCCTGGTTGGTTGTGCCGGTGTCCCTTTCACGTCGATGTTTCTCTCTCTCTCTCTCTCTCTCTCTCTCTCTCTCTCTCTTCCTCTCTCTCCCTCCCACTCTACATGAACAAAAAATGGAAAAATGTCCTCGGGTGAGGATGATTAAATAAATAAATAAATAAATAAATAAATAAATAAATAAATAAATAAAACAATGGGGAACTTCTGGATGGCCTGTGACATATAGGTATTAATGTTATCCACATTTTGTAGATGAGAACACTGAAGGTAGAATACCAAGTTCACACAGCCTATTAAGGACAGAAGTAGAGCTCAAATCCAGGTCTTTGGACCAAGTCCAGTGTTCTTTTTACAGTATCCCTGGTCTCCCAACCTTGAAACAGGGAACTCCTCCCAGGTCTGCACTGCTTTGGGGCTTTTTTCCAAGGATCCTGCTCTACTACAATGGGACTCACAGATTGAATCCTGTGCCCTCCTGCCTTCCAGAGTTTTGCCTGGAGGTGATTATTTGCAACAGAAGTCACCCAGTCATTCTTCACACTGTAGGATCCTGCTCCCTCTACTATCCTGACCTTATTCTGCATATTTAGAGAAGACAACAGATACCTATTACACATCAGCTTTAGCAGAATGTATCTCTGAAGGTCTTGGTACTGGGCCTGTTTGGTCTACTCCTTAAGTCCTCACATAGGGAGCTGACCCCTTTCAGGCTGCATTTCAGTTTCAGAGATCCCTTCAGGCAGTACCTTCCAACTAGAATCAGCCCATGGGTGTCCTGTTGGGAAAGTAGATAGTAGAAGAAAGAGAAGATCTAGGGTTATTACTCCCTACCCCTCTCTGCCATGGGGGGAGAGGGGGAAGGTGAGGTAGGGTCTCAGGCAGCAGCTGTCTTCTGCAGAGCTCCAGTTTCCATCCTTGACTCTGGCTCCTAGGCTCCAGAAACCCCACTCCTCCCTTTATTCCTCCAGCCTATGGCTGGTAGGGCGTATAGCTATTGTTTTAAAAAGAAAAGAAGAAACAATAGGCCAAAATAGAGTCACTTTTGCTAAACCACAGCACCAAACCAAAACTTAATAACAAACCTAATTGCAATTTCAGCCTCTCCCAGGAGTGGAATTTTAAGCCAATCAGTCTGGAATTTCCTGATCCACACTAGAAAGGTAATTTGCCCGATAGGCCCCCTGCCTTTCTCTAGGGCAGTGATTTTTAACTGGTGTGCCGGAAGAATTTTTAAAACATGAAATACCTTACTATTTAGTCAGAGGCACTGACCTCTTTTGCCTTAGATTGTCAAATAAAAGAATGACAACAGGCAACACAATAGCTGTCCAGTGTAAATGAATCAAAATTATACCTATTTTGTCAGATCAACAAAAATTTATTTATTGATGTGCTGCAGAATTTTAAAAAATATTTCTATTGATTTTTAGAGAGAGCAGGAAGGAGAGAAACATCAGTCAGCTACCTCCTGCACGCCCCCTACTGGGGATCGAGCCTGTAACCGGGGCATGTGCCATGACTGGGAATTGAACCAGCAACCTTTTGGTACACTCGACAGTGCCCAACCAACTGAGCCACACCAGCCAGGGCATGTGCTGCAGAATTTTAGTAATTAGTTTATGTGTGCCATGAGATGAAAAAGGTTGAAAATTGCTGCTCTAGGGGATAGTGTCTTTGCCTGAAATAATCCACTCTTTTTTAAAAATTTTTTATCCTCACCCGAGGACATTTTTTCATTTTTTGTTCAGATAGAGTGGGAGGGAGAGAGAGAGGGACAGAGAAACATTGACGTGAAAGAGACACATTGAGTGGCTGCCTCCCGCATGGCCCTGTTGGCCCTGGTTGGGTCAGGGCCAGAGACAAACTGCAACCGAGGTATGCACTCTTAGGGGGAACCAAACCTGGGTTTCTATGGACCAAAGGCCAACATTCTAATCGCTGAACCAAACTGGCCAGGGCTGAAATAATCCACTCTTAATTTAGTCCTACCTTTTTTCTTCCTATAAAAACCTATTTTGTACAACTCATTCAAGCACCCTTCTAGCGAATTATGAATTGCTTAATAAAGCCAATTAGATCTTCAAATTTACTCAGTTAAATTTTGCTTTTTAACACTATTGATAATTTCTGAGCTGCCTTCATTCCCTGTTTGGCTTACCAACATTTCCACCACTGGTGT